GTTTTACGGTGGCGGTTGAGCTGTAACGCTGGTTTGAGGAAAACGTTTTTACGGTGGCGGTTGAGCCTCTTAATAGGAAGAGTCCATGTATTCGATGTTGGGAGACGGAGAAGAAATAAGGTATGTTATGATGCATGAGTCATGCATGCATTTGCTACACTCCCACAAACGCTGTCCTGAAGAAGCTCTTTACTGTGCGTTTTTAATCTATTTCTTCAAAATTTCATTCTAAACAAACGTACACGTAACAATATATCACCTCGGTCAACCAGGGTAATCCATCCCAGCAGTTCCCTATATTGTCTAAAGGACCAAGGGGGATGAATGGCCAAGTCGTGAAAGGCGCCGCAATTCGCTGTGCAGAGTTGCGGCCCTTGGAGACGCCATAAACCTATGGGTTCGAATCCCGGTTCGCTTCGATTATGTTTCTAGGTTTGTCAGCACCATTCCCGTGCTCGTGGGTTTCACCGAATGACCTGCATCAGTTCGGGCTTTCCTCCCACATTAAGCTGACACGCCGTGATAGAACTGGAATACCGTGTGAAGCGGCGTTAAACCCAACTCACTCACTCACTCACTCACTCACTCACTCACTCACTATACAGTGAAACCCCGTGAATCAGGACGGAACCGTTCCCAGCAACATTGTCTGAATTAAAAAATATCTGAATAACAAACATCTAAATGGAGTGATATTCCTTTGTAAATATGAAAGGAAACAGTAACAGAGTAACAGATGAGGAACAGTATAGGGTCTAGCGATGTTTCACTTTACCCTGAACAAAGTTTAATGTGTACAGTAGAGAGCTGCTTGAATGTCTGTGTCAGTGTCCATCCTCACACAATGTTAACACATGGGTGCATGGTTCCCGCTTACCCCACTGCTGCCTAGTCGTTAACGCTCTTGTAATGTTGTCCAATATGCTGGTGGATGTGTTAGATACTTTGTAACCGTACATGCACTGAACTTAAAAAAACGGGCGAACTAGAGTACTAGTACTAACATATTTTTTATCATTTTTTTAGGAAGGAAGAAATGCCTTTGATATGTCCGAGCTTTACTGTTAGATCACATCACTGCATGTTCTTCAAGTTTGTCCATTTCCAAACGTTGCAGCTCCCTGCTTTTTTTAATGACTGACAGTCTTCGTGGTCTAATGGTAGAGCGCCTGCCTGAGTCTCCCCGGAGAGCGGAAGGTCCGGGGTTCGATCCCCGGTCGCGTCATACCAAAGACGTTAAAAGATGGTACTTGTTGTTACCCTGTCTGGCGCTCGGCATTAAGGGGATAAAACAAGGACTGGTCTGCTCGGGGTCAGTATACTGTGTCTGAGTGGGGCATTCATGCGGCATGGTATCTCAGTAGGAAAGCACTATTAATTGGCATCAGTCCGGATTAGCAGAAGCACACACACACACACACACACACACACACACACACACGCACGCAAACACGCACGCACGCAAGCACATACACACACACACACACACACACACACACACACATGCATGCATGCACCTCGCTATCTGAGTGCAATAATCTTGGACGCGACGTAAAACCCCATTTCACCTCACCTATAGCATCAACGGATGTGCATTACTACTAAATTGCCATGGGTGTCTCAGTGGCCAAATAACATACTGAATCAGCAGTGCCAAGATTTGTTGCTGGGAGTATTTTGTGCTCCGGAATTCCCAGGGTAGAGTAGCCGTTATTGTACTTACCACTTTAACACAGTCTTTAATACTTTAAGTGGTAACGTGAGGTCCACTCGTACACTGAACCATAATTGGCTGTGCAGAGTTGTGTCACTTATATGTGCCAGAAACGTATGTTCGCGGTTGTTCTAACCTAAGATTCGCCTCGACAATGTTTCTAGTTTTGTCAGCGACATTCTCGTGCTCTACGGCCTGACCTACTCACACCATTTGCAATCAAAAATGTTTGCTTGTTTCCTAACGCCGCGAAGCATGTGACTGTATCTGCCACCTCTTTCCTGCCAAGATATATTCCTCTCTGTTGACAACATTGTGCTATTCAAAATGCCTTTTTTATCCATATATTTACAAACCACGACTGCTTCGTCATTGTGATAAAACACGAAATATGCTTACAGCTGTTTGTCTGCGCTTCTGCATGGACATGCCTGGTTGACATGTACATGTTACGACTAACACAACGACCCGCACAACCATTCATTGGCGCGAAAAAGACAAAGCGAAATTGCGTTCTGACATTCAGACTTATTTACGTCATTCCACCTGAGTAGGAGGATGTAGTGACGGTTTTGAAGTTACATGTACATTTACGTTGATTGGTTTATTTGTGACTGACAAATTTCGAGAATTAAGCAACTCTCATACATACACGAATCGTTTGCAAACTTCACTCAACGTCAAGTCCTCGAACGTCACCGTCACAAACATCTTCTCAGTAACATGCTTGCTCCTACCAATAATGGCGACTGAATTTGTTCAAGAGGTTAGAATCCGATTTCAATATGGCCGTCACAGCAGCAGTGATGAAACTTGGTATGTGTTAAGTTAGTATTTGGACATTGGTAGAAATAGACGATGTATGCAAAAGTGCATTTCCCTTTTTTTTGAATTTGTTGATCCAAATTAGCTGAAATAGCATTAATGTTTGTCTCCATAATATGATTGTATAAAATCAATGAAATAAAAAAGTAAAATAAAATGAAATAAGCCTTTAATATAATTAAGCAAATTTCTTTTGTGCTGATTAAATGCACTGGCGAAATTTTTGTCATTAAGTCCTTATTATATATATGCAAAGAAAGTATTTGGATCAACGTTGACAGCAACCTTTCTTTAGTCACTGTCTCCAGTGAAATTTCGACTGTTGTCTACAGATCCAGGTGAGCTACAGTCCCGTGCCACTGTTCATGAACATTTAATAATACCATTCAAGAAAACCAAAGACTGCTAACTAAATGATTGAACAAATGAAAGGGATTCGATTTGTGAACGTAATTGGATTCACTGGGATTGGTATAGTGAAAGTGATTAAATTTACCACATGATTTGAATGGTTCAACAGATTTGATTATTGAATGTAATTTGTGAAAGTGCTTTGATTGGTAAAATGATTTTTTGGTGAGTGTTATTTGATTGGTAACGTAATACAGTCATGGATCCACCATGGTTTGTTGTTATGTTCGAGACAGGACTAGTTTACCACTGCTTCTGAACACTCATTTTTTTCTTTGAAAGAAGAAGTCGAACAATGTAATTGTTTGTTACATGACATATTTTTTACGACTTCCAGCATGTCCATCGAATAAGTATTAGGGATGTAAAACCTCACGAGAAGGATTACTGATTCCAGAATTTAAAAAAACCCTTATCATTATGGACGATATTCATATTGCCAGCATCAATAAATACAGATTACCAGTACCAAACATAATTGATTACCATGATATTCAGGTATAATAGTATATACAAGTAATGATGAGTATATATCATTATCTTGATCATATTATTGTTTTATCAAATATAATCATGGATTTCGTTCGTTTGTTGTTTAACGCCCAAGTCAGCAATATTCAAGCTATATGAATATAGTTGTCTGTATATAATCGAGTCTGGGCCTTCTAAGCAAATGGAATGCAATGACATGCATCAACCAAGTCAGCGAGCAAGGATTGCTGTAGAACAATAATTATTCTTACCCGGACCTTCACGGAGCTATAGACACGGGTGCCTGGGTGGGTTGGGTGTAGGCGTGTGTTATATACATGACATGTCAGTTCCATACATGTGCGTCTAAGTATCACCAATGCGGTAAAAGTCAATAGTCAACATCGGTCTTTCCTCCCATGTCAAGCACTCACGCCGTGATATAACTGATATCCTGTCCAACGGGACGTTACTATAAAACCAATCTCACTCACTCATATAATGCATAATTATTGAAAGATTAAAGCGATTAAATATTTTTTTCAATGCATGCTTATAATAGTTTATTGCGTAAGTATTTACACGTCTCATATTTCTTCAAAGACTTAATAAAGTGCCAATGTCGAAAACGTTGGATAATTTGGCTTATAATGTAATGCATCTCCCATTAATATAAGCACTGTATTTCCAAAAATGTATTTCTATCACAAACGACCACTGCAGCGGCAACTGTTACACCAACGACATCACATCCTACGACAGTAGCAACGTCTACGTCGACAGGTATACACAACTGCTTTGGGCCAGGACATGCAATCATGATACAAATTTATATAACAATGCAATTTTATTGTAACGAACATAAATCTGTGCTTTATGTATCAAGTAAAAGAAATTGGTTGGAATGTAACACGGAGATAGTTAACCTCATTATTATTAATTGTTTGCATCAGCAACGACGACCGGAACGACCATTGCTACATCAACTACACCAACACCCACAACACTTACATCCTCCATGATGATGATCCAGATTATGATACCCATCCATGATCATGTTAAAAGACTTGTTAGGACCCTCAGTACTGTTTATAGTCCGATGCCACAGCACATGGCCAGGTGCAAATATCATATACAGGTGTGTGTGTGCGTGTGCCTGTGCGTGTGTGTGTGCGTGCGTGCGTGTGTGTGTAAGGGGGAGGGGGAGGTTGGGTGGAGGCGTGTGTTATAATTCCTGGCCTGTCAGCTCCATACATGTTCTTATAAGTTTCACAAAAGTGGTATAGTCTAAAAGTTTGCTTCGGGCTTCCTCCCGTATTAGGCTGTCATGACGTGATATAACTTTAATACTGTCCAACGCGACGTTAATTTAAAAAACATTTCATACGGAATGCATATTGTAAGATTAATGTAATTATATATTTTTGTCAAGTCATGCTAATAGTAGTTTTTAGCGTAAGTAAGTGCATCTCATAGTTCTGCAAAGAACTGAAACAGTGCCTAAGTCGAAAACGTTGCATATTGTGGCTTTTAAAGTTCTTCATCTCCGAATAATATAAGTAATGCGTATTTATATCAGAAACGACCACTGCAGCGACAACTGTTATCACAACGACATCACATCCTACGACAGTAGCAACATCTACGTCGACAGGTATACACAACTGCTTTGGGCCAGGACATGCAATCGTGCTATAATATAACATTGCAACTGTGTACACATTTATAGTATGTTGCCATTTGATTGAAGATAAACGTACATATATCTGTGCTTTATGTATCTGGTAAATAAAAAAACAAATATGGTTGGAATGAAACACGAAAACAGTTTACCTCATAATAATTAATTCTTTGCATCAGCAACGACGACCGCAACGACCATTGCTTCATCAACTACACCAACACCCACACTTACAACCTCTACATTCCCAGGTATGATGATGATTCGGATTATGATACAACCATGATAATGTAGTAGTTTATTGCGTAAGTATTTACACGTCGCATATTTCTTCAAAAAGTTAAAGAGCCTAAGTCGAAAACGTTGTATAAGTTGGCTTTTAATGTAATGCATCTCCCAATAATATAAGCACTGTATTTCCAAAAATGTATTTCTTATCAGAAACGACCACTTCAACGACAACTGTTACAACGACATCACATCCTACAACAGTAGTAACGTCTACGTCGACAGGTATAGACAACTGCTTTGGGCCAGGACATGCAATCATGCTATAATATAACATTGCTACTGTGTACACATTTATATTATTTTTCCGTTTGAAGAAAAACGTAAATAATTCTTGGCATGTCAGCTCCATACATGTGCTTCTAAGTTTCACCAATATGGTAAACGTCAATAGTCAACATTGGTCTTTCCTCCCATGTCAAGCACTCACGCCGTGATATAACTGATATCCTGTCCAACGCGACGTTAATTTAAAACCAATCTCACTCACTCACGTAATGCACATTGACAGATTAATGTGATTAATTAATATTGTCAATGCATGGTAACATATAGTTTTTTACGGAAGTATGTACACGTCTCATATTTCTTTAAGTAATTGATAAAGTGCAAAGGTTGAAAACGCTGGATACTTTGGCTTATAGAGTAATGCATCTACCATTAGTATAACTAATGCGCATTTATATCAGAAACGACCACTGCAGCGACAACTGTTATAACAACGACATCACATCCTATGACAGTAGCAACGTCTTCGTCGACAGGTATACACAACTGCTTTGGGCCAGGACATGCAATCATGATATAATAAAACATTGCTACTGTGTACACATTTATTTTATTAGTATTTTGCCGTTTGATTGAAGATAAACTGTTCTTAATGTATCTGGTAAATAACAAAATAATTGGTGGGAATGTAACACGAAAACAGTTTACCTCATTATAATTAATCGTTTGCATCAGCAACGACGACCGCAGCTACCTTTGTTACATCAACTACACCAACACCCACAACACTTACAACGTCTACATTTCCAGGTATGTTAATGATTATGACTTGCTTTTACATGTGTTTATGCCACCGGTGGGTCAGGATACGCTGAACTTTTCTCAAACACCTGTCACCACCACTACTTTATAGTGATTTATTAACACATGCTTGTGATATGTTATAATGTACGGAATCGTACAGTTGAATCGTTTAGAAGATAGTTCTTATAATAATGGAAACTTTAAGGGATTTGTCTCTTATATTTATCCAAATACCACTGTTGTGAAAATAAATGTTTTAATACTAAAATAATGCCAAGACTGAAAATGTTTGATGGATGGTTATTTCGATATGTTTAATGTTTGCTTTTTGCTGCATTGGTACAACTTAAAAAGTGGCTAACTTGTGTGAACAAGTTAACACAGAGACCGGTCAGTTACTGTAGGAGGGTCGGAGAGACCGGTGGTAGGGTAACAAAAAGGGGGAGTTTAATGTCGCGTTCAAGATTATTGTACTATATATATATATTATGTATATATAGCGACGTGCATGTACGTGCGCGCGTGTGTGTGTGTGTGTGTGTGTGTGTGTGTGTGTGTGAGAGAGAGAGAGAGAGAGAGAGAGAGAGAGAGTAAGAGAGAGTCTGCACAGTCTAGTCAAGACTAATGCTTTATCGCGCTATTCTACTTTAATTAGCTTAGAGGTACAATTAATGAACGAATGCACATCTGACAATACAACCAGGTAAAATATTCTCGCGATATGGTAATGGTGTCTGCACTGTTGTATTGGTTATTTGTATTAATTGTTGTATATAATATAATACCCCCTTCTACTCATCACATCTACTATAATACGTGACTCTCACTTATCTGTATGTCAAGAATATTATGACAATGTCATTATAACGATGTGAAAGCATGCTACTGTTCACCAATCAATGACATATGTATGTGGAAATGGTTTTGTTGCTTTTGTTTACACCATCCATTCATCCCTCCCTCCATCCAATCATCTATCCACTCATCCGCCAGCCACTGTATCCATCCCTGGTGCTATATATGCATGTACCAACTAACCAAAGGAGTCTACCGCACAACCAAACCTGCAGTGCCTACCTTGCAGAAGCTCTACACAAATCAGATGGATAAAAAAAACACCCAGCAACAAATCTAATTACAGTGCTTCATTATCCATATTGTAATCCCGATATACACCATGTAAGACTTTCTTCACTTAGCTGTTGTACTGCCACATAGAATAGATTAACGCCAACAGGGATTTTTGTATTGAGAGAATCATTAAAGTTACATACAAATAATAGTGTTCTGTTTAAAATTTTAAGATTGAGATTTTTAAAATATTTAATAATAATATTTAAATGAAAATAACAATGACATTATGAAGACATGGCATCTTTTATTCTAATACTTCTGTGGCTTATTCATTGTCATAATGCGAACTGACTTTTTTCAGACACAACGACGACGTCAGCACCAACAACCTCCCCAACAACTACCCCAACAACAAATCCAAAATCTTGTTTAATGACAAAATCATCCCGTACGACAGATGGTGCAGTAGATTACAAGGTGTCGCTCGGCAATGCTGACTCCTGCAACAGTATCTGTCTGCACACCAAGACATGCCGCGCCACTACATATACACCAGGCAACTGCACACTCCACTCCCAGACCTTAACAGCAGCTTCAGGGGACATCGTCGACTTCGTCAGGCAAACTTGCAACGACGGTTTGTGTCATTCCTCAATTCCGCCCTTTATTGACTTTAGAGGTTTCTGGTCCACCTTAGCAGAGATAGACAAGATCACTTGTCCGGTAGTCCGAGGCTTGTAACAATATAGACGGACTAGTTCTTTTATCCTCAAAACTAAGTATGATATATTAACACTGGTCCGAAATGAGCTGGGGACGAGATGAAGAGGACCTATGTTGTCACCCCCTGCTAAGGGAAGTAACTCTGAAAAACAAATTCCGACGGCTAAGACAACCCGTGCACCATGTTGTTACAGGCAAAGGTGGGAGCAAGAGTGGCCCAGTTGTCTAAGGCGCCGCAATTCGCTGTGCAGAGTTCGCCCCTTGGGCACGACAGAAACCTATGATCGTAGTTCGAATCAGGGTTCGCCCCGATTTTGTTTCTAGAATTGTCTGCACCAAACCCGTGCTGGAGGGTTTCACCGAATTGGTAAACGTCTGTATCTCTGCGGGCTTTCCTCCCACATTAAGCTAACACGCCGTGATATAACTGGAATACTGTTCAAAGCGGCGAAAAAACATAGTTACTCATTCACTATAAGCAACCTTAGCAGGATTGCAATCACAACTCTAGTATCTCCCAATGGCATGGTTACTGTCTTCCATAGAGGCATGTGCCTCACGCGGATTGACGTATACTGATGAGTGAGTGAGTGAGTATGGTTTTACGCCGCTTTAGCAATATTCCAGCAATATCACGGCGGGGGACACCAAAAGTGGGCTTCACACATTGAAGCTATGTCGGGAATCGAACCCGGGTCTTCGGCGTGACGAGCGAAAGCTTTAATCACTAGGCTACCCGACCACCCCTCCGTATGCTGATGACATGGGTCTGTGTTCTAAAGGTACATTCTGCTGCATGAGCTCCGCCACAACACAGAAGACCAATGGTACTCCCCTTCTCTCTATCAGCACAACTGCATCACTAGAGGGATGTGAAGCGATCTGTCTTGCAGTAGCCGACTGTAAGGCCACATACTACAGCGACGAATCCTGCTTCTTCTATACAACTACTCCAACGACAACATCTGACGGACCAATACTTTTCTCCAAGAAGACCTGTCCAGGAGGTAGGATCAACGAGTCGCTTAGATTTAGTTCAAGCTTTATGACGGCGGTCTGTAAATAATGGAGTCTGGGCCACACAATCCAATGATTGACATCATGATCATCGATTTGCACAATTGGGATTCGATGACATTCATTAACCAAATCGGAGAGCCTGACCACCCGATCCCTTTAGCTGCCTCTTACGACAAGCATAGTCGCTTTTAACGTCAAGGATCTCTCGACTCTCTGCCGAAACAGATTATACTGGGCGAAAAGACAAAATAGTGATGAAAATTACATGAATAGATTACTCTTTCTTAGTCTTTCTTTCCTGTATACACTGCCGGGCAAAAGAAAGTCCACATTTGAAAATTAGATTTGACCAAAACATTGCAAACGTTCTCAAAGACTTACTAGGCTGAAAACTGTCGCCGAAATACTGCAACCCTTAGGTCCAAAACTATGATTTCCGTATCACATACGTAACCATCGCATAACCATTTCTTGTCTGTTTCATTTTTAGCTACCATCAAGCAAGATGTATGTCTTATTTTGCCCGAAAGTATATTTCATTTGACTGCGAAAACAATGAAATCTTTGACGAAATTACTGGAATATAATTTTTAATAACCGGTTATAGCTATATACATGATATTGTACAATCATACATGTAGGTTTATGTTTACATTATGTACACATGCAATACACGAAAGTAAACAATCATATTTCTTTCAGACCAAACAAATCATGGACAACTTGCATACGATACTACCTGCGAAGGTAAGATTTTAAACAAATACTCGTTATGGTAATTAAAAAGACAGTATAGGAAGAAGCTATATATTCAGTATTATTTTCGTATATACGGTCAAATATTCTTTTGGATGTAATAGTTTGGGGGTAGTGACATTATTCTTACCCGAGCACAACTGGCATAATCCGTCTTGTTTCTTGGTGTTGAATGCTGTTCGTTCAACGTCACATACGCTATAGAACCAATGAATAATAAACAATTCAACTTGGTATTATTCAACAGAAAATATTGAAATACTGCCATTTAAACATCAAATCTTCTGTAAGGTTGCAAACATATATAATATGCAATGATATAATGAACAATTAAACTTTGAAGGAATATACCAACTTTTCGAGAATAAATATCTTGCATTACAACAAATATATATGATAATTGACGTGATTTCCATAACCATCATATATTTGTTACAATTTTTGTCAAGGCATATCATTACGATATTAATATGAGGCAAATATATGCTTCATTTTTTCTTAAGAAGTTGATTCCATTTCAGAACGTCCAAAAAAGACTTACAGACAGACACACATGTATACTAGGTATCTGCTATATGTGTAGTTATTGTCCACACGTTCTTCGTATCCGTTTTAATGGCGTATGTCTTGTGACATGTGTTACGTTTTCACATCATTGTCCTGTCGCTGTATTTCCCGCTTCCAAGAGCAATATGCATACACCATGTATTAATATAACACCATATTATCATAACTGTGCTAACTTCATGTTTTGTGTTATAAAACCACAGAATAATTTTGTCCCCCGTTTTGAGTGAGTGAGTGGGGTCCTTTGCCGCTTTAGCAATTCTCCATCAATATCACGACACAAGAAAGGGCTTCATACATTGTACCCACGCGGAGAGTCTACCCGAAGAGCGGAAGGTCCGGGGTTCGATCCCCGTTGCATCTTACCAAAAGAACGTTGAAAGATGGTACTTGTTGTTACCCTGTCTGGCGCTCGGCATTAATGGGATGAAATAAGAACTGGTCGGCTCGGAGTCAGTATACGGTGTCTGAGTGAGTTATTCATGTTAAACTGCGGCAGTGTATCTCAGTGGGCTAGCACTATAAATCGGCACCAGTCCGGACAAGTACAAGCACACACACACACACACACACACACACACACACACGCACACACGCACGTACGCACGTACGCACGTACGCACCCACGTGCACGTCGCTATATAAGTGCAATCATCTTGGACGCGACGTTAAACCACATTTCACCTTAACTCACCCATGCGAATGGGAGATGAGAATCGAACTCGGGCCTTCGCCGTGATGAAAGAACGCTTTAACCACAAGGCCCCCCTTTCCTCGAAAATGACTACTGTGGTGTTCCATGTCGTTGTTGTTACATTGTGTAGTGGGATACTTACATTTAACAATTACATGTAGTTTCTATTTGAATTACATTTAGGTTGGTAATAGTTTCGTAATACCATGACCATATTTTTTCAAAAAATAAAATGACCAATAGACGAGACTTTCGTAAAATATATCGTTTCATTAAGTAAATAATTATCAATGGTTACATTCATTAACTCACAAAAGAAAGTATACACTTGAAAATTGGATTTGAGCAAAAGATTACAGTCGCCTAACAATGCAAACTTAAGGTACAAAACACAGCTATGAAACCCTATAACATCCATCATCATCTGATAACCATTTCTTGTTTGTTTCAACAAGTGTGCGTACTTTCTTTTGTTCGGTAGTTTAGTACGTTTTACACAACTGCCATTGTAGTTTGCGAACGCATGATGTTTTGAGCTTGCTCATGGTAATTCAAATTAAATAGTTATATAAGGTTGACATGTTTCAGTTTCCACCACAACTACAACGTGTACGACATGTGGGGGTATGTACGACATGTACAGGTGGACAACCTGTAAACTGTAATATGCCAAGAACATGTTTGTAGCACCCTTGATAAAGTAGTGAAAACAATACTGAAATACAAAACTAGATTCGGGTCTTATTTGGATGTTTCGATATGACAATTATTCGCAAATTATATGTGAAATTAACTATAGCTGTGAGGAGTATATCGAATTTAGACTGATTTATGTACAAACATACATCAAATGTAACTTGTTATATATATGTATGAAAGAAGAAGGGTGCTCTGGATCTCGAAATACAGTTTCGAATTAGCTTAAGTTTAATATCTGCAATATATTAGACTACAACTTGCCAAGACAGTTGGATGGTCTTTAAATAGTTTCTCCGACAGTCTTTGATCATATGGGAGGTTATTTCAATTATACACCACACAATTGAATGGAATTTAACATCTGCATTTTCATTTGTAATATACACACGCGCATTCATAAGTGACGAGATAGATGGTTAGCTAGTTAGTTTGTTAGTTAGTTAGCTAGTTAGTTAGTTAGCTTTTGTCAGTCTCTGGGTATTTTACCACGTCCGTGGTGTAGTGGATAGAGCGTCTGCACGGTGCGCGGAAGGTCGGTGGTTCGATCCCCGGTCGCGTAAGAAAAACGTCAAAAGATGGTACTTGTTGTTACCCTTCCTGGCGCTCTGCATTGACCGGATGAGACAAGGACTAGTCGGCTCGGAGTCAGTACACTGTATCTGAGTGGGGTATCCATGTTAAACTGCATAATATATCAGTGGACTAGCACCATAGAAAAGACATATGTCCGAACTAGTACAAGCAGCAACACATACGCGTGCTTGCACGTTGCCATTTGAGTGAAATAATCCTGAACGCTTTCACCCCATTTTACCTCAAACTGGTGCATACTTCGTTGAGTTGTACATGTACATTAACGACGCTACGACGGTGACCTTCACTCAAATAATCGGTTTTATTCAAGATGATAACAGAATAATATGAACATATAAAATCGGAGAGGATTTATTCTACGAAGTATTTGATTTTTTAAAATTCTGATTGACCCATCACAGGTTTCAAATGAAAATAACAACCTCAGATTAAAACAGCTAATTTGACGGACGCCTCACCACGGAATAGTTCTTTCTCAATCATTTTCGGCACTTTCCAATAAAGATAGTTTTAGGGAGTCACTTTCAAATAATGTTTTTAACAAATATATGTTGCAAAAAGCAAGTGCGGCGGAAATAAGGACAGAAAGCAACTGAGACATCTGGAGTGTATAATTAACATGTATGGTGACGGTTGACAATGTTCGATTGTGACGTCACATCTCTATCGTTATTTTTAACGCTATGACGTCATAGTAGCGGTGTAGAAAGGGTATCCGCAAAATGTTTGTCTACGAAGTAGATGTAACAGTAACATACACTGCAACTGTTAAAGTACATACTGACGCATATCAAAAGGCATTTAAAGGCGAGTAACTGTATTTCCTTAATTCATATCGGCAACCTTCTGAAAACATTACCCGTGCCGAATTCGCATTTTACTTTTCCATTGCAGTATGGAAATCGTACATTCACGTTTTGCAGATAACATAACCACGAAGTATAACGCCTGTTTATTGCCAAAATATTAGTTAAAGTCTGCCTTTTTCGTTTCAGGCCCCAACAACTCCGCATCTACTGGTATTATCCATGGCCGTATTATAGGTACCAAAATATTCTGTTTACATTTGGTAAAACTACAGTGTGTTGACATCATGATGAATTTATATTGAACTTATATTAAACGATTCAACATTGACATGTGTACTCTAACGGTATATTTAAGAATTGCAACAAAACATTGGTTTGAATACAGTTATGTAAATACATTTATTACCAAACACATGTATTCCCCACTCTGTTAAATAATGTGCATTATATATAGGATAATACGGAAGACTTTTAGGGCCATTTGTTTTTATCTTGAAATTGCAAGAAAAAACCCCAAAACAAATGGCCCTAAAAGGCTTCCGTAGGATGATGAAAGTAACGGAGAATTTATTGTATCTTTCAGCGTTCCTGATTATGCATATTTCTTTGACACTGTCCTCATGCTCGCTCTTCTGGCCGACTGACGACATGATGAACAGTTTCATACAGACATAGAAGAAAGCATTCAGGACAATATGGCGAAAGGAAGAATAATTAAATGTTTTAAACACGAACTTGATGTTTGCAGTGCATTTTCTCAGTCTTAATAACTTACTGGCACCTAAGATATTAAAATAGTCCTGATCAATCGTGTATACTTTGTGTATACATGTGCACAGATTGTACTGCAAAAAATGAATCTCTATCACCCATACTTTGTGTTTTCAAGCCAAATGATTCTTACTGTTCTTGCATGCACAGTTTGATGTAATTATTTTAAGGTTATTTTTCGAAGTACGTGTATATTATTCATCTCTTTGTTTTATTTCTTTTTTTCCAGAGGGTATGGATCGTCTAAGGTGCCACAATTCGCTTTGCAGTGTTGCGTCCCTTAGACATATCAGAAACATAATTTCGTGGTTTCGAAGCCTAGATTTGCCATGATTATGTTTCTAGGTTTATCAGCACCAGAACCGTCCTAGTGCAAGTGGTAAACGTCCGCAGCCATACAGATCTTAGTCGTTAACCACTTTGGAAAAGAAGGCAGGAATTGCAAATACCTTTCTTAAGTTAACTGGAACCGTTGGAATGAGTGTTCAATGTATAAAGTATAAATGTCATTAAGGCATTTAGAAAAAAGGCGACGATGAGGCTGAACACGTTTTCTCCTCAACACAATATCCGGATGCAGGAACCCCCTTATAAAACCTCTCAACTGAACATGGGTCTATCTAATGATGCTTACGTCAGTTCTAGTATATGTACAAGGGGCATGCAGGCGTGCCCCGAGTTAATGCATCTCCAAATTAATACGACTGCTGACCCCTAGCCAAAATGAAGACCCGAAACGTATGCAGATATGACTATTGCGGCAGTAATTATCACAAACTACTTCCAACTTGAATAAGGTGTATGTATATCCGTGATGTTTGTTTTTGTACTTTTTTATCTACTATCTATCTAAGTATATATACTCTACATACCAAAATATACGTTGATATTATAATGGTTGGCTGAACAGTGTGATATGTGTTTATAGGGCGAATTAGGTCCTGACAAAGGTCTGTTTTCGACCAACACATCAACTGGCTTTAAACAAGAACGATGGACTTCATATAGATGTTATCATTAACCAATCTACTTCATGAATCAATTAAGAATTTATAATTAATAATAAAACTGCAAGTGAGCACTTTATTATTTCTGAACGTCAATTACTCATTCTATGAAAAGCAGTTCACATGGTAAATGCGTGCGCGTAGAGTTATTTCCCTTGGCACGTGTTGTGTTGAATTCGTGTTCACTCGGTTTATTCCGTTATCGACATACGTCGGACAACAATGAACGTTGTCGGTCATTAAGAGCGTGAAATAAATGTTTTTTTATTCCGAGATAGTTAACTGGAGGACCAACTTCAATACATCTTTTGTTTCTTTAGTTTTCAACGACATCTCGAAGTTCGAGACACACAGAGAGAGCGAGCGTGGAGCGTGTTCTGTATTAATCACCTATACCAATGTATCACTTGTAATAAATAATTATTTTAAATATACTCATTCTGAAATATGTTTCAAACACATTAAACTTATTCCAACTTGCGCTGTTTGATATAGACTGAAGTGTTTTAAAAATATTTCTTTTTTAAGAATGTGTAACTCTAATATTATTTTACTTCAAATTGAAAAACCTTTTAGCCATGCGAATATTTTTTGGTCAAAACAGCGCTTTCCTTGTCGGTTCACCATATAAGTATATAAACATTCCACATGTAAATACATTGTGAATAAACAATTTGTTCTACTTCTTCTCAAGTTTGTTGTGTGTTGTTGCGAAATTTGTCAAATCAAATTCTAAATAGGATTCTGGACATATTCTGTTTTAATGATACGCTGATTTCTTGATACAGAGGTCCTTATGGTTTTGTTAAAAATAATTTGTTGTTGATGATATCGATACACATGTGCACATTTACCAGTATGGAGTAGTATTAATGTTATATAAACCATAAGTGAACTTTTGAAACCAGACCTACCGGAACTAGATAATTATTAATTTGAATCATTCTTGTTGCGTTGAAATTGCACCGGAAACATGTTTATTCCAGTAGGTTTGGTTCCTAAATATTGTCGAGGTTTTTGAGTGATGCAATACACAGGTAAAGAACTGGACTGTCTTCAGGTGAGTGGCAAGGTTAACGATGTACAACTGTAACTAGTGTCTATTTACAAGCTCCCGATATGCGCAGTCCTGCTGTTAACCGGTCTCTATTGAACAATGGAATTTGTTATATATATATATATATATATATATATATATATATATATATATATATATATATATATATATGTTTTTTATGTTGAACTAAGTATAACTTGAAACTACAAGTTCTGGTAATGTATTCACATTTTAGTTTTGAAAATGTTTGTTTGTTTGTTTGTTTATTTGTTGTTTAACGCCGCACTCAGCAATATTCCAGTTATATGACGGCGGTCCAGGCAATCCAGTGATTGGAATCCTGAGCATCGATCCACGCAAGTTGGATACGATGACATGCATCAACCAAGTCAGCAAGCCTGACCACCCGATCCCGTTAGTCGCCACTTACGACAAGCATAGTCGCCTTTTATGGCAGGCTTCGGTTACTGAAGACCTATTCTACCCCGGATCTTCATGGGTCTTCTTGAACATGATGTAAAACTATATTAACTATCATTCTGCAGAATTCTGAGGTACATTTATATTATTTTATTCCTAAAGATACAACTACAACGATGGTAGCGACTACTACGTCGACAAGTACATCTCCAACGCAACCAACGACAACTACTCCAACCACCACTTCAACAACTGAATCAACAACGTCGACGTCTACAACCACAACATCAACGACAACAATGACGTCTACAACTACAACCACCACAACACCAACGACAACATCATCAACGTCTACAACTACAACCACCACAACACCAACGACAACATCATCAACGTCTACAACTACAACCACCACAACACCAACGACAATATCATCAACGTCTTTAACTACAACCACCACAACACCAACGACAACATCAACAACGTCTACAACTACAACCACCACAACACCAACGACAACATCATCAACGTCTACAACTACAACCACCACAACACCAACGACAACATCATCAACGTCTACAACTACAACCACCACAACACCAACGACAACATCATCAACGTCTACAACTACAACCACCACACCATCATCTACAGAAGCATCCACATCTACAACTACAATCGCTACAACACTGAGTACAACAACAACACCATCGACGTCTACAACAACCACTGCCACCACAACACCGACAACTACTCCGACAACGACCTCCAGCACAACCACAATACCAACGACTACTACCATACAAACTACAACGACACCAACGACAGAGACTACATCATCATCTACAACGTCGTCTACAACAGTCACATCCACGGCAGTGAAAGCTACATTGACCTCGACATCAATGAAGACAATCTCAAGTACTGAGTCAGGTGAGAAATGACTAAACCAGTGCTACAGTAAACTACGTTTATAACAAACACGCTTATTCCGAACAGACGGATATTACGAACATTTGTACTGCTTTTGGGTCCCGTCCGTTTGCTGTAGGGGCGGTCGGGTAGCCTAGTGGTTAAAGCGTTCGCTCGTCACACCGAAGACCCGGGTTCGATTCCTGACATGGGTACAATGTGTCAAGCCCATTTCTGGTGTCTCCCGCCCTGATATTGCTGGAATATTGCTAAAAGCGGCGTAAAACCATACCCATTCATTCCATTGACTACATACGTGCCTATAACGAACTACGGTTATAATGAACTAAAATTAGTGGTCCCTTTTAGTTCGTTATATACGTAGTTTACTGTAATTACAAAACATACTATAAGGAGCTTCTTCTTAAATATTTCACAACATGGATTTAATTTTCTAAAGACATCAATATCCGTCGAATATCTGTAAATTCTTGTTTTCAAATATTTGTAAATTGTTTACTTGTTTGCAGACGTTCTCCAGATAGCAAGTATTGGCGTGATAGCAGCCGCAGTGACGAGCGGTACTTTTCTCGTCGCCTTCTTTCTCACTCTAATATGTATACTTATATTTGGGTAAGTAAAATTGACCCTGTTACCCTTACATCCTAATATATGTTAAAGATCCGACACACAACTGCTGTCCGTGTGTTCTTGCAGGGAGACTGTACATGTGGCCTTTGTGAATTCAACGAGCCTTGGTTTCCCGACGTTACATTACGATTTACTAAAAACATAATTACTCAGTGACAACGCAGTGTTACCCTTTTCGCGAATACCCGGTGTCATCACTGATGTTTAGTGACCCCTTCATATGCTTATCACCGTTAATTTGCCTTTTAAGCCCAATAGAATCTGTTTGGCATATAATCGAGGCTGATTATTCTCTGGCTTTGACGTTTTATATATACGGTAGATGGTAACGGCGGTATGGGAGGAGAACTGCTGTGTGACGTCAGGCAACAAACAAACACTTATTATTTTATGCAAATTGTGTGAGTGGCGGGTCCCAAGCTTAGTTTAAGTTAATAAAATCAATTATAATAATAATAATAATAATAATAATAATAGTAATTCTGACTGCCAGGATCACCCAAACCCTCTTTGCTGCATTTTTTATTTTAATCTGTTAATAATAATAATAATAATAATAATAATAATAATAATAATAATAATAATAATAATAATAATTAGTTATGCTGACTGCCAGGATCACCCAAACCCTCTTTGCTGCATTTTATATTCTAATCTGTAAATAATAATAATAATAATAATAATAATAATAATAATAATAATGATAATAATAATAGCATCATATATCTTCTCGTGTTCCAGTTCCAGAAGACGCAAAAGGAGCCCCCCTCGCGAGGACACCGAGAGGTCATCTTCTGGCTGGAACTACAACAGCAAACAGGCCCCCGCCGTCGTCACAACAGACTACATCATCTACAGGGGACCCAACTCCATATCAGTGTCCAAGGAAAATATCTCTATAAAACAACACCCTTCGCCCCATGATGACCACAGGCACCACCGGTCAAAACCTTCGCCCAGACTGAACTATTTAGATTACCAGGTTTATGTCGGTCAAGGATCGCCCCCAAGACCGAGGCCCGGGTCACCAAGTAGGCGTGTCCGAGACGGGAGTTTTAACACCCAGTTCTGAAAGACAACAGATATGCACAGTAAACCCCGTTATTCCGGAACCTGAAGGAAACGTACATTTGTCAAAGGGATGTTATTATATACTTTCACAAGGAATTGTGCCGGATTAGCGGGGGTTCACTTTAGCTCAATGACAAAGATCTCATGTGAAGAAATGCATAATATACAAGGGATCGTTTTAGAGATTACAATAGAAGGTGTTGCAGTATGAAACATATCCTCTTAAACAGGAAGTTCACATAAATGATAAAATAACCTGATTCTTGATATGATTGTGTGTATTTCAGCAAGGGGAACACTGATTTACAGACGCCAGGGGAACACTTATGTCAGTAAATATCATTAACCAGATATATTGTCTAATTTATTCCCGCACAGTGCAAAAAAATATGTGATATTTTTGTCTCAGATGTACATATGTTGACATATTGTTTTTAATGAAAAAACTTTATAATGTTACCATTTCACATACTGATGGTGCTGACGATTAGTGATGCGTGTCTTGTCAATCCTCATCATTATAACTGTAATTTTGAGGATGTAGAGAAATCTCTTTTACTCGGTATATTTGCGAACGTCAAGAGGAGTTCGAGTTAACAGGGTTCGAGTGTATCATATGGTTCTGTATTTCTTATAAGTGTATTGTCATACATGCTGGTTTCCCGTTGCATAGTTAAACAACATGTTTATGTATCATTCGGTAGCGTAAGTAAGTAGTTACATTCAGGTGGCCCATGTGTAATGCTAACCGTCAGATCAAGCATCCTCTATACCTCCAGGGCTCCCATTTCGGTAAACCTTTACGTACACTTAGTTGTTAGTTTACCGAATTGCGAGCCCCTCGGATGCAGAGGATGCAGATCAAGTGGAAAATGGAAACAAGTGGACATAAACAGCTTGACAAAAGAACTCGAAAATTGCATTTGACCCCAAAATTACAAACGTTACTGTGCTGAAAACAGACGCCGAAACAGCTGTTTGATTGATTGTCACGTGGCTTCCATTGACTCGGAAAAAGTGTGCGGCTTGTTCCTTTGAAGCGGGGTACAAGGGATTTATTCTGCCTCTAGGAAATCCACGTGCAGCCTGACTTGATCGTGGCGGGGTATAAGCTATTTATTTCCCCCGCTGCGAAATTATTTTTCCTCCAAGGCGGGATACATGGTATGTGTCAAGATCACGTGGCCCAATCAGATCTCATCATTCGGACATGGAGGTATGATAAAGTATTTTGTCAAGATCATGTGGCCCAATCAGATCTCATCATTCTGACATGGAGGTATGATAAAGTATTTTGTCACGATCACGTGGACCAATCATCATTCTGACATAGAGGTATGATGAACGTATTTGTTGCAAGTATTGCACATATGTATTTCTCATATGTATACGGTGTCATACATGTCCTTTCATATTGTTACCACCTCTCAGCCAACAATGTCCATGTGTAGGTATGAATGCCCGACCATGTTGTCAATATAACATTATGTACACATATCCTATACCCTGTATCTTACCAGCACGATATACTTATGATGCAGATGTAAGTAATGCTTCTTTCACAACAACTCCCCATGCAAGGACAGTGTTTGTCCGGGGCGGTGGCGTAGCCTAGCGGTTAAAGCGTTTGTCGAAGACCCGGGTTCGATTCCCCACATGGGTACAATGTGTGAAGCCCATTTTCCGGTGTCCCCCGCCGTGATATTTCTGGAATATTGCTGAAAGCGGCGTAAAACCATACTCACTCACTTTGTATGTCCATAACCAAAACTGTACAGTGTATCGCCACGAACCATTATTTATTTGAATAGGTGAGTTTATATTTGAAAATGGTCCCACGAATGCGTGTGCACACTCTATCCCCGTTTATGCGGACCTCATTAAACAGGACGATAACTGGCTATTTGGGAATCGCTTTGGATTAACATGGTACACAGTATTTACTTTTGTCTTTAGGTTTCTCTCGATGAAACAGGTAATGTTTGTCTTTACATCCAGGGTATTCTTGCACAAAGCGATCTTAGCGCTAAGATGATCGCAACTCCCATACTTTAACATAGGCTTACAATAGTCTCCATTTAACTTCCAGTCCCGTTTAAGACGCGTCATGTTTTACATCTTAAGAGGAACGTTTAACTTGTAATAAAATCCAACAACTTTACGAGTTGAACTTTTATTCTTATACCCGTTTTTGAAAATGGACCAAACTTTTATTTATAATTATTCCACATTATGAAATCCAGAATTGTACAAACCAGTTAGAGTAATTGTTGTTTCATTGTATTTTTGTTAAATATTTTTACAAGTATTTATGATGCATACAGGCATTGAATACTTATATTTTAGTTCACGTGTATAGTTTAATGTTTGTATCATGAAGGTAACCTTAAAATGTGTTCATCGCGACGTGTTTCCGGTTGGTAAACCTCACAATACATATATGAAAATATAAACAATATTTTCTGAGAAACCCTGAGTTTTAGTTTTTTATTCAACTATGCATGCATTTTTGTTGTTGTTTGATAGAATTACATGTATATATTATGAAAACAGCGTGCAGTGAAAGTTACGGGTAGGTTAACGAAGCGATGATTTAGTTGGTTCACTTACATATGCATACATTTCATCGTGATATGTGCTATTAATAGTAGGTGTCATTTACTGACTAAGAATAGAATTGATTGTTGCTTGATTTTTCGTGTCGCAGTCCATCTTCCTTAGGCAAGGGAGACAAATGACTGTAAAGGTCTAGTTTCCACTTTTATGATCAGTTACCTCCCTTGTCCCGGGAAGGTGGTCGCAGTCTAAAATCGTAAAGAATTGTAAGAATTGTTCTTCAGCAACCCATGCTTGTCGTAACGTGATGGGGTTGTCAGACTCGCTGACATGGTAGATGCATGTCATCGTGTCTCGGTTGCGTTGATCGATAGTCATGATTATCTGGTTCAGACTCCATTAATTACAGACAACCGTCGTATAGCTGGAATATTGCTGCGTGCGGCGTTAAACAACAAGAGGCAAACTAAAAAACTCTCCATACGGACATTCAAGTTAGATAACTCTACATGTCATGTCCCTACAGCAAGGCGATCGCTTCAGAGTGTCGGCGAGGTCAGTCGCTCTCGTCTGTTTGGTTATATGGGGTCAGTTGTTGTCATATTGCGTTCTTTTTTTTGGTTTTAACAGGAGTATTGTATCCACAAGATAGGGTTGTATTACTGTTAGTATCAAATAGTAGCATATTGAGTTGCCGTATTTGCTATTGTATGATATTTTCGCCCCATGTGGCTTGTATCAGTTTTCGTTGGCGCTTTCTTGGCGAGCTTGTCGTTGATCATAAATCGCTGTAAAATGGATAAGTAATAAAACAGACTACAATGGAACAGTTGTTGAACACTTTTTAGATGAACCAGCTCTGTTGAGTTTAAGTTAGTGTTAAATTAGGGAGATGGATATTTTCTACCTTGGGCCCATCGATGAAACGTACACTCATTAGCATCTGAAAACCAGAGGCATGTCTTCCAAGACGATGTTTCAGGTGGTGATCATCAGGTCAGTCCCCTCAGAACTTCTAATGAACATGTTCCTTAAATGAAATTTAACCGCCTCCGTGGTCTTGTGGTAGACCGTCCGCCCGACTCTATATAAGTGCAATAATCTTAAACCCCATTTCACCTCACCTCACCTCACCTTGATGGAAATTTAGAAATGCAAACTGGTACGATTTTGTTGTGAGCAACATATTACGAAGACTTCTGAACTAATAAATGCAGCTGTTTCCAATGATAACATCACGACACAGATGATTGAAATATCCCGGGTCACCACTGGAAAAAACGTCACGAAAGCAATCTGCCTGAATGTGAAAAGGCACACTAAGCAAGAAAACAAACCTAAAACAGGTTTTGTCCTACTTCACTTCTTGGGATATGTCTGTATTCAGAAGGCTAGAACCTAGTTTCAACGTATCGTTTGTCGGGCAAAACCGTATTTGGTCTAGTTTCTGTCGTATTCTTATATCCAGTGTGTGAAAATAGTTTTATGCCGAGACGGCAAAATAGTGACTAATATTCATAAGGCTAATATTAATGTACAATGTGAACAATTTAAGACAGTACCTCTGATAACTTCCTGGCGGATTCAAGAGAATTGAAAGAACGTTGTGAATCTGGGTATATAATGGCATCATGTTCAGATGGAGTCGCTCGTATCTTTCTGGAAGGTCTCTTCAAGTTCGCACTGGACTGAACATTTCTCGTATGCATTTGATTGAAAAGTGGTAACTGGTGTTATTAGCCCTGCACTTTTCAATACAATGATAAATGTTTTTTGTTACTGATTTACCATGAAAAATAGGTGTAACACAGTTTGCTGATGATGGATAATTTTTTAGACGATTTGGACTTTTCAAGTCTGTCACTAAATCAATATAAAAAAATGCTTAGACATAATTACTGTCGGTGTTCAAAGTGGGAGAAGTAGTGGGTGTTCTTTTGCAATGGAGATAACCCGACGTTAAATGTCAATAGAAACTGCACGCGAGTTTATAATTGTTTGGTGCTTATTTTGACTATATGTAATATTTTGGGTTATCACGTATCTCATGTTGTGGACAAATATAATAAGATTTCTTACTTCTGACGACTGATCGTAAGATTAATATTACATGGTTTCTTTACATTTTTTGAGAGTATTTTATAGAAGACTAATATATTTATTCATACATCATGCATTGACTTTTATACCATTTAACGGCTTTCGTTTAATGAAATTCTGTTTACTTGTGGTTTTGGCATATAATCATGAAGTGTATTTAGTAAATCATTAACGCCGCACTCCAGCTTTATGACGACGGCCTGTAAATAATCGAGTCTGGACCAGACAATCCTGTGAGCATCGACCCACGCAATCGGGATACGATGACATGTATCAACCAAGTCAGCGAGCCTGACCACTCGATCCCGTTAGTCACCTCTTACGACAAGCATAGTCGCCTTTTACGGCAAACATGGGGCAACTTATAATATCATTTGATACGAACCTGGAGTCTACATCTACCTTGTTAATGAAATCAGGAGAAAGATATATATCGACTGCGTATCAATCATCTGTGTGTTGAATTCAACATAAAAACATAAAACATAAAAAATACATACAGTCGCAATAACCAACTAACTTAACCTTACATCATCAATGTTATTTATTAACCAACTAAGCGCACTAGTTACACAATGACACACCAAACACAAGTAATGACATGCCTTCATCTTATATTCTCATATCAACGTATGATTTTAAAGCATTCTGCATTCTGTCTAAATTTCCGAGCAATTGGACAAGCCGTTGGCAATCCTATTCAAATGCTCGGAATGCTTCTCTTTGTTTGCGTGCCAATATAAGCTTATGTCACCATAAACAAACTTTCCCAATCATAATACATCGTATTGTGACTTTTATCCTTGCAAAGCAAATATTGCTTTGAAATTCATTTGGCGGTTGGAGGCTCACAAAGCAGGTCAGGTAGGATTCGATAGTTTCTTTATACACCTTAGAGGAACACACATCCGCACAGAGATATTTACACTCCTGTTTTACATCTCCTTTCACTGTTTACTCCACGTGTTATTGTTGTTACCGGAGGACTACTGCATATTGCAAACCACTCGCACTTTTATGTACCGCGGTCGATATCGCACCATTGAATCTAAACAGGTGAATATATTTCAATGACAATGTGATTTGCACTGCCTTGGTGCATGTCATATGCGCGTGTAGCTTCCTGCAGATTAAATGGGTTTTCTTGTATCACGCACAATGGCGACTTATTGAATAGGAAACTAGATCACGGGCACTCACGGCAAGCAGGTTGATCCTATATTGCAGAAAGCTACTGCCTTACAGCCATGTACGTCTCGGCAGTATACGTACGTGCAGGATAATGTACTGTTCTATCTTATTAGGACCAAATCAGTATTGAGACAATGAATATAGGAACCATCATAAACTGACGGCCAAATGAAACTTCATCATAGTTTTAAATCACTCTAGTTTAAAAACCACACAAGACAGTGAGTTGTGTTTAACGCCGCTTTTAACAGTATTCTAGTTATATGACGGCGTGTCAGCTTAATGTGGGAGGAAAGCCCGAAGTGATGCAGGTCTCAGACGTTTATCACTTCGGTTAAACCCACAAGCACGGTATGGTGCTGACAAACCTAGAAACATAATCGGGGCGAACCGGGATTCGAACCCACAATCATAGGTTTCTGGCGGGTCAACGGGACGCAACTCTGCATAGCGAATCACGGCCACCCGACTGGGCCACCCGTGCCCCCCACACAAGACAGATACATGAAATAAAATGTATAGACAAGGTCAAAATCTCAACGAAATCAACATTTGAAATGACAATAATACAGCATCCGATATTGGCATGACAGTTGCCCGAATTGAGGTGGGAGCAAAAAGAAGTATTCAACGAAGGGTACATACATCTAAAACGCCTAAGTTCAAGGACACGTCACATTATTAGCGTGTACGATCACCCCATGTTACAAGACACTCAAAACCTCTCAGGCGAACAGAAAAAGTTAGTCGTCTGATGAAGTCACGTCGGATACGCCTGGATCTTGTCGGCTGGCTTGAGGATGTGGTCGCTGTCGAACACGACGATCTATAACATCCCAGAGGTGTTCTATGGGGGACATGTCTGGGGAGCGTGCAGGTGACGTTGTTGGTTACAAGGAAGTTCTGTACGATTCGGGCTGTATTAGGTCTGGCGTTGTCATGCTGTTGTAGAAATGGGACAATCAGACGAAGCATGTCATCCATGTGACCCTAAACAGTCAAATTTCCGTTAACGATGACCAGTGGTGTTCTCTCCTGCCCACAAGTTCCTCTCCACTCCATAACACCCCCTCCGTCATACGGAACGACCTCTTGAACGCAACATGCCGCCGTTTGTTCAGACAGAACAGGTTCACTTCAGTGAAGACGACCCTCTGTCAGTCACGTCGCTGTCAACGACTAACCCTTATTCCTTGGCCACTTCCTTTGGTGATGACGTCACTGTCAGGAATCGAATCCGGAGATGCAAAGTACCGGTCTTCATTGGGCGTAGTTTCCCTGGGTCTGCCTGTTCTTGGTCTGTCTGATGTCTGCCCGGTCTGTCTGTGACGTTGCATCAGGTTAGTTACAGCAACACGGGAGCAACCAAAGGTTCTAGCATTATGGGCATGTGTGGTTCACATCTGTATCATACCCACGGCCCGCTCACGTTGTTCGGGTGTCATTCGTGGATTTTCTGTGATGGTTATTTATCAGTGTGTGTGTGTTATTGCACGTGTAGTTTTGGTTGCCTAAGTGGCACGTGCTTTTGACCTTTTCGCATTTTCTACAACCAACCCCCTCCAAAAAACCCAAAAAAAACCCAAACACCAACAACAAAAACAAAAACAAAACAAACAAAAACAAAACGTGCAGTGGACGTGTATCACTTTCTGCATAGAGCATTGTTGTGTTGGGACGATGTATTTTGCACTGATTTAGTTTGAACATGTTTTTTAATTTTTTTTGCAGTTTCATTTTTAAAGTGGTAGAGTTCCTTTTGGTCATGAGCTTCCTATGGACAGTTTGGTATTAATTATTTTGTTTTCTGATTGACGAGGGTATATTGATAACACACTCCGGCCAATTGACTTCTCGGCGATCAGGTTGCAAGGGTAACCCAATTTTGTCTCGTGTAGATATATTACGTTCCACTGTTTATTGATTGAATTTAGTTGACAATGTATATATCTTCTTAAATTCCAGATAACTTCTCGAAGATAGAACATGGATACATACACGCATTTGTCGATAGATTACTCTTTAGAGTAAAATGTTCAATGGAAGTAAATGCGAATTGAAAATGGATTAAATGTTTTATGTGACATGAGTTAGTGAGTAGCGGGGACACCAGAAGTGGACTTCACATGTGAGGAATCGAACCCGGGTCAGCGAGAACAAACGTACAATTGACTCTGCTTTTAGCAGAGATTACTTCTGAATATGGGATGGGCTTTATCGCTTTTGTTATTGTCGTCAATGAATGAATGAATCCTGTACAAGTTCTGTACATGAAACGTAGATGATTGTTTGTTCAACTGTATGTTTTATCATTTATCAATCATATCTCGCTGTTATTGTTTCCTTAAGCCCCGTACGCAGAAATTGATCATACCCGTCAATACAAAACATGATGTTGATCTGACCATAGATATAGTTACATCTCTACCTTCAGCGCAATTCGTCAAATATGACTGCAAAGGTCATATGAAGTTTACTAAGAAACAAAACTGTGAAATACTGGACTTTCCCGTGGTTATAACATCTTTACATGTCATATTTAGGTAAGAAGCAGGCATCCTCATGGGCACCAGTTCTAGCTGATCTGTTTCTTTATGCATATGCTATAAGAGGTCCTCAGATTGGCAAAAACAAAACAAGGGAATTTGGCCAAGAAGTTCACCTCACATGAAAGCAGCAGGTATATCGACGATCTTTTATCGTTCAAATTTGACGCATCAGTGACAGAAATTATGTCAGATGCAAGTCCCTATTTTGACTTGTACAATGTGTTCCCGTGGGTTTTTTTTTCAGGTAAACAATTAACTTGCCCTTGTATGTGTTTGTGGCGAGTGCCACCGGTGGGACAGGATACGCTGACCTTTTCGCTAACACATGGCGCCATCACTATTTCATAGTGATTCATAAACACATGTTAATAATATAGTCGGAATCGTACATTGGACAAAGATTTATCATAATTATGGAAAATGTTTTGGTCGCTTTGTTTCGGGGTTTCACTGTATAACAAACTGTCATTGCAGTGTCGACGAGTGTTGATATATTTTATGTACAAGCACTTATTAGCAATATTTATCAAAAGAAGGGGAAACATTAGTGCGTGTTCTTTTTCGTTTCAAAAGTCTTCGATTCTGTTAACAGAGATAATCTTTGGTATTATTTACAAAAGAATGGTCTTGGTACACAAAATGGATAAAGTGTTGCGATCTGTGTAACAAAATGGGAAAGCCTGTTTGCGTGTGTCGAAAAATGTAAATACCGAAGTGTTTGAATGTCCCTTTGGTGTACGACAAGGTTGTGCTCCTAGTCCGTTTTTGTTTTCATTTTTCATTATTGGTAAATGAAATCGTATTCAGTTATTACCAAATTCACTTGTTCCTTCTCTCATATGCTGATACTGTAATTGGACTCCAAAAGCAAATCGATATTTCAGAGAATTATTGCGAAGCTGGTCTCTTCAAGTAAATTTCGACAAAACAGGAATTGTTATTTTTAAAAATGGAGTCAAACTTTCTAGAAGAGAAGAGTGGATTTACAACCATGCCCCACTCAAAGTTTCATCGTCATAAAACTATCTTGGAATAATATTTTTTCTCACTTGGCAAGCATCGACAAACAATCTGACTCTTATAGCTAAGAAGGTTCTCATAACTGTTGGGAAGCATTTTTTTCAAGTTTGAACATTTTTCATTTCAACTATATTTCAAAATCTTTTTGGTGTTACTAGTAACAGTAGGTTCTAACACCGTTATCAAGCAAGTGAGAGACATCAAGCTTGATAACGGTGTTAGAAACTACTCCAAAACGTCGCTCCTAATTGTAATAAAGAAGTTCCTCCATAAATCTTATACTTACTTATACTAATGTCAGAAAATGACCAGCTTCTACAGAATATGACTACGTTTATACATCATGTACTGTCAAAACGACAACTTACATGTGCCACTCACCCATTGTAATCATTGTATTTGTATTTTGGCCTACAGTTCAGAAAATAAATAGATACACTTGATATGAGGGTAAGATTATATTTATAATCCAAAATAATTTTTCTGGCTTTTGCAGTCTGTAAACACTAATAGCTACAGTCTTGTGTGTAAAACGTACACCTAGCCAGCTTCAGTGCAAGAGAGATTAATGATTTCATTGTGACGTCCTGGTAGCCGATGACGTCACAACGGTCTGCAGAGCATTGTGATGCAAGTTTATTGTAGTGATATCTACTAGGATATATCTGCTTGAACACACTCAAGCTATTCCTTTCAAAGACTTCTTACAATTTAATTACTTTGTAAGTTTTACACATATTGGGAAAAAAGGAAATAAGAAAGTCAAAGGCACTTGAATTCTCTAACAAATGAAAGAATTCAAATTGAAAAATCACTTTTGAGAAGCAAGATTTTGTAACGTCTCCCAATCTACTACAGGTACGTTAACAAGAAATACTCAAATAATAAAACAATATAAAAACGTTACACAATAAGGTTTGTTATCGTGTTACATCGCATTACACATACCCCTCAAGTTTTTAAGGGTTACTACTTTAACAAGGCAGTTGATGAATAGCCAGGTGTTATGTTTACAGAATCGTAGAAGATACCAGACTGAATCTCCGTACTTAAGACACAGATGTTTAACCTCTCAACCCATCTAAGGCGTGGCTATATACCATGACGAACAAGGATTATCACAGTCATCAAGATGGTATACACACACTCAGTTTTCTTTATACCCGACAATATAATTTCAAGGCAACATGGCTTGGCTTAATGGAACATTAAACCTATTGACGTAAATATATCTTTGTACAATGTGCAAACCATTTATACAGTGGCCATGTCGTGCTATGCGATCGTTTATTATCCGAGCAAGCGAGGGTATGCGTTTAGTCGAGAAACTGTGAAAGAAGGATTATGAATGCAGTCAAAGGTTCCATATACAAATGGGGGACATGTATGACTTGGTGACAGTATGCTGTTATACACGTGGATATACAGAGAAGAAGTTACCGTCGGATGGGACAATGTCATAAATCACTACTCGCGACTGACGAGAACTGTCCAACAATGACTCGAATAACATTACATTGTGTTGTAGCGTTAAGAGATCGAGGGTCTATAAGGATTGTTGTCGTTCACGAATTGATGGTTTTATGTTCTGTGATTTATTAGAAGTCAAGAACAAAATACGATAGTTTATGATCTGAAATGGACTTACACAGTTCTTGTATGGGATATATGTTCGTATATATAGAGGTTACTACACGAGTTTCTGTGAGTACTGTAATGTCCACAATAGAATTTGAAGAGTAGGAAGATCTCTCTCTCTCTCTCTCTCTCTCTCGCTCTCTCTCTCTCTCTCTCTCCGCTCTCTCTCTCTCTCTCTCCTTTTGTGGCAGTATATAGTTAAAGTGAGGAGAGGTGAGGTGAAACTGGAGTTTAACACGTCGTGTTATATGGCGACGTGCGTGCATGTGTGCGTGCGTGGCTGCTTGTTCAAGTCTTGTGCGTGTATTGTAGTGCTTACCCACTGAGATTCCATGCCGCAGCGTGTATACCAATAGACATACACATAGACTTCGAGCCAACCAGTCCCGTTTTAATCCCCCAGGCAGCGTCTCTTGGTATGGCGCGGCCAGGGGATCGAACAACCGAACTTCTACACTCCGTCGGACGCTCTATCCTCTAGACCACAGAGGCGGTTATTTTAAGTGAGATATTCGATGCTGGCCAATTTAGCGCAATTGACATTTTCCCTGTGTTATTATGAAGACACAATGTATCCTGTATCATTGGGATACCATGTCGCTGAGGGGGGCATGGGTGGCCCAGTCGTCTAAGGCGCCGCGATTCGCTGTGCAGAGTTGCGTCCCTTGGGCACGCCAGAAACCTATGATTGTTGGTTCGACTCCCGGTCCGCCCAGATTATGTTTCTAGGTTTGACAGCACGTACTCGTGGGTTTCACCGAAGAGGTAAACGTCTAAGACCTGCATCAGCTTTCCTCCCACATTGAGCTGACACGCCGTGATATAACTGGAATACTGTTAAAAGCGGCGTTAAACCCAACTCACTCACTCAGTCACTATGTCGTTGAAGAGCGCCTGTCAAACTAGGGAGTCCGAGGGTCTAGAAACTGCTATCACACATTTGTCAGATACCAAAATGTCATCTGACGATGTCTCCTCCACACATGGGAATTACGGTATTTGATCCATGACAACAGTTTCACACATTTGTCAGATACCAAAATGTCATCTGACGATGTCTCCTCCACACATGGGTATTACGGTATTTGATCCATGACGACAGTATCACACATTTGTCAGATACCAAAATGTCATCTGACGATGTCTCCTCCACACATGGGTATTACGGTATTTGATCCATGACAACAGTAAGCAGCCATTCCATGGTCGGATTAGTCAGCTATTCTTCAGGAATATTCCTCAAAGATCTGTTCTTCAAAGATGATAAATGGAACATTTGTAGTGTGACAACATGGGGAAATGGACCCTGGATTGGTTAATTATGTGCACGTGGTCGTTATCCGCTTTTCCGTTGTTTACAGTTATGATCCTTTTTACAACCATACATTACTTCAAATCTGTGACCAGGGGGCCACCCCTTGCGACCCTCACATGGGACTCAAGTATTGGTGACGTCATCTTTAAAGGCGCACTCAATCATACCACGTCAAAAAGTCAATACAGGCGCCGCCTAACTTGTCAAAACACTAAAGGATACTGGGAAATTAGAGAAATTCGAACCAGTTTTAAGCCGTGAATTGATGGGACGTGATACATTGAACAGCGAGGCAACTACATTTATAAATACGGATCACATGATATAAGACATTGAGGATAGCCAAGGTAGGTGGTGATATGTTTCATTTTGATAGGAGCATGTGTGTACCTCATGGCAACACCCCTCTGGTTTATCTTGTTATTTCATGTTTTGAATTAATTTCGTAGTTGTATTAATTATAGTTATCTTTAATTCGATATGTTCATTACTTTGCCCGTGGAGAAAGTTCCAATATCACTTATAGTGTTGTTCATTAATATTGAGAGATTGGCTTTCTGTAATATGTGTAATAGTGTTCACTTACTCTTTTGTACAATTACTGAATAGTTGATTAATAGAGGCGCGATGATATCAGTATTTAACTGACTAAACTCCAATTGACAAAAACAGTAATTAACATTGTGTGTTCAGTAATGATTATTAACCTATTATCATGATTATCTTTTTTTTTATTTAAACCACAATCGTGTTAATTTTGAAAATGGATTATATATATTTTGCTAAATATCTTTTACGTACATTCTCATGAATCAACAGAGTACAGATATTATGAAACTCCAACTGCTGTAACTCGATAAAAAATTATACTTGTAAGATTATGTAACATTGTAGTCCCGGATTCTTTGTTATAGTATGGTGGCATACAGCAGACACTTCGCTTGACTCGAACTATGTTTACCTCGATGATTTCCAGGATTTCATACTTACGAGGTTTTACTGCACTTAACATTTTATACAAGTATTTAAATATGCCCTGGGAAATGGGACTTGATTAAAAGTAAATAAAAACGACAAAACCCCATTTCACATTCATAAGAAATCTCTGCTAAAATCAGGGTCGGTTGTTCGATTCCAACCGTATTATGAACATATATTTATGAATCACCATCAGTAAGTGAGTGAGTGAGTTGGGTTTGAGGCCGCAGTATTCCAGTTATATCACGGCGTGTCAGCCTAAGGTGGAAGGAAAGCCCGAAGTGATGCAGGTCTCAGACGTTTACATCTTTCGTGACACCCACGAGCACGGGTATGGTGCTGACAAACCTAGAAACAAAATCAGGGCGAACCGGAATTCGAACGAGCCACCTTAGGTTTCTGGTGTGCCCATGGGACGCAACTCTGCACATCGAATTGTTGCGTCTTAGACGATTGGCCCACCCATTATCAAATTACATAGAGTACACAAGGATACACATGGGTACACAGAGAACCCCAACACGTAGGGTACTGAAGCATGGCGAAGAGCATAATTAGTACGTAACACGCAACTGATGTATTTTTTCAGATACCGTAGATTGGTCAATCGTATGGCTGTCACGGGCCCCCGAACTGCGGTGTTTTTGTTTCTGGGGCTACTTGTCTCATATTCCAGTAAGTATACATGTTTCTAAGCTTCAAGGAAATAATACAATCTTCACAGCCTCATATTGAAGTCCTACGTGAAGATCCGGGTTAGAATGGATGCTGGTCGTAAGAGGCGACTAACGGGATCGGATGGTAAGGCTCGGCGACTTGGCCGATGACATGTCATCGTATCTCAATCGCATATATAGATGCTCATGATGTCAATCACTGGAATGGCCCAGACTCAATTATTTATCGCTGTGCAGAGTTGCGTCCCTTGGGCACGCCAGAAACCTGTGATTGTGGGTTCGACTCCCGGTTCGCCCCGGTTATGTTTCTAGGTTTGTCAGCACCATACCCGTGCTCGTGGGTTTCACCGAAGTGGTAAACCTCTGAGACCTGCATCACTTCGGGCTTTCATCCCACATTAAGTGACACGCCGCGACGTTAAACCCAACTCACTCACTCATAGTGCAGAGTTGAGCGTGCCAGGATGCTATGACTGGGTCAAATGCCGGATTCGCCTTCATTATGATCCTTGGTTTGGCAGCAACATAACATTAGGTTTTATAAATGTGGTAAAAATATTGGACCTCCATAACTTAGGAAGTTTATGGCCTGAATGATATAGCCGCAATACAGTTCAAAGCGGCGTAAAACACAACTCACTCTGACCATGATTCAGTCAATGATTGTACATAAATTGGATATTGTTTTAGGACCATGTACCTACACCACTACTTCGGACACGGGAGGAGACCAAGCTTTATGGCATGCGAGCACAATGAGTACAGTGGCTAACATTGGTGAATGCCAGGATGCATGTACAGCGGACACTGCCTGCATATCTGCCGAATTCCTGACTACAGCCGGTAGTTGCTTTCGTTTTCAAACTGCGACAGCTCTTTCGTCTAGGGCTAATAGCATCTACACAGTGAAAGATTGTTCAGGTGAGGTCATATGTTATTTTCAATTATGCAGATAGGAGGCTGAATGTACAAGGAAATACGATAAACAGTCATGGTCAGGGCCAGGTGTAGTGAGGGGACCGGACAGGGGCGGGGACAGGGTCAGGGTCAGGGACAGGGACAGGGGAAGGGACAGGGTCAGGGGCAGAGACAGAGACAGAGACAGGGACAGGGGTAGGGACAGAGACGGGGACAGGGGCGGGGACTGGGTCAGGGGCAGAGACAGAGACAGAGACAGGGACAGGGACAGGGGTAGGGACAGGGACAGGGGCAGGGAAAGGGACAGGGGCAGGGGCAGAGACAGGGACAGGGGTAGGGACAGAGACGGGGACAGGGGCTGGGACTGGGTCAGAGACAGAGACAGAGACAGGGACAGGGGTAGGGACAGGGACAGGGGCAGGGACAGGGACAGGGTCAGGGGCAGAGACAGGGACAGGGGTAGGGACAGAGACGGGGGCGGGGGCGGGGGCGGGGGCGGGGACAGGGACAGAGACAGGGGCAGGGATAGGGACAGGGGCAGGGGTAGGGACAGGGGCGGGGACAGAGACAGGGACAGGGGCAGGGACAGGGGCGGGGGCGGAGGCGGGGACATGTACAGGGTCAGGGGCGGGGGCAGAGACAGAGATAGAGACGGAGACAGAGACAGGGGCGGGGTTGGGGACAGGGGTAGGGACAGGGACAGGGACAGGGACGGGGACTTGGGCAGGGACAGGTTCAGGGGCAGAGACAGAAATAGGGACAGGGACAGGGACAGGGGTAGGGGAAAGGGTAGGCACAGGGGCAGGGGCAGAGACAGGGACAGGGGTAGGGACAGAGACGGGGCGGGGGCGGGGGCGGAGGCGGGGGCGGAGGCGGGGACAGGTACAGAGACAGGGACAGGGGTAGGGGTGGGGGAAAGGGTAGGGACAGAGGCAGGGACAGAGACAGGGGCAGGGATAGGGACAGGGGCAGGGGAAGGGACAGGGGCGGGGACAGAGACAGGGACAGGGACAGAGACAGGGACAGGGACAGGGGCGGGGGCGGAGGCGGAGGCGGGGACATGTACAGGGTCAGGGGCGGGGGCGGGGACAGGTACAGGGTCAGGGGCGGGGGCAGAGACAGAGATAGAGACGGAGACAGAGACAGGGGCGGGGGCAGAGACAGAAATAGGAACAGGGACAGGGACAGGGACATGGGTAGGGGAAAGGGTAGGCACAGGGGCAGGGACAGAGACAGGGACAGGGACAGGGACAGGGGTAGGGGAAAGAGTAGGCACAGGGGCAGTGACAGAAACAGGGGAGGGGGCAGAGACAGAGACAGGGGCGGGGGCGGGGACAAGTGCAGGGTCAGGGGCGGGGCCAGAGACAGAGACAGGGGCGGGGGCGGGTACAGGGAAAGGGTCAGGGACAAGGACGGGGGCGGGGACAGGGACAGGGTCAGGGAAAGGGGCAGGCACAGGCACAGGGACAGAGACAGGGGCAGGGAAAGGGTCAGGGGCAGGGGCGGGCACAGGGACAGAGGTAGAGGTGGGAGCAGGGGTTGGGTGAAGGACAAGGTTGGGGGCAGAGGCAGGGGTTGGGGCAAGAGCGGGGGCAAGGGCAATTGCGAGGGAAGTGGCCGGGGCAGGGTTTGGGCTTTGCTAAGGCAGGTGCAGGGGCAAGAGAAAGGGCGGGGGCGAGGGCAGAGAGACAGGGGAAAGAGCAGGCATAGGCGCAGGGACAGGGACAGGGACAGGGGCAGGCACAGGAGCAGGGGCAGTGAAAGGGGCAGGGGCAGGAGAAGGGGCAGTGAAAGGGGCGGGGGAAGGGGCAGGGATAGGGGCAACGGCGGGGGCATGGCTGGGGTTAAGGACAAGGGAGGGGGCAGAGGCAGGGGCGGCGGCATGGGCAAGGACGGGGGCAAGGGCAATTGCGGGGATAGTGGCCGGGGCAGGGGCGGGGCTTGGCTAAAGCAGGTGCAGGGGCAAGAGAAAGGGCGGGGGCGAGGGCAGAGAGACAGGGGAAAGAGCAGGCACAGGGACAGGGACAGGGGCATGGGGCAGGGGCAGGGGCAGGGGCAGGGGCAGGGGCAGGGACAAGGACAAGGACATGGACAGGGGCAGGGACAGGGACAGGGACAGGGACAGTTTTGATAGGGGTTTCCCAATGTGGCGCCAAACATTGTACAAATTAGAGGTGTACGTTCCTATTGCGTAATAACCGTGGAAACAGCAGCCCAGCTTTTTGAAATGAATACCCCGCTACTAATAAATGTTAAAGGATCGCCTCAAACCTAGATTTTTTCTCGTTAAAAAAAACTCTACCATGTTATACTTACGTGCCGTAAATCTTCCGGAGAATATCTACTAACACTGCGCATCCTCAGTGGGTGCGGTCCCGGAAGGCCGATTTTACACCACCTTTGATTTTCTTAATTTGACAGAACAGTCGATAAAAGTGTCAGACCGTTTAACAAGAATCTTGTAACTTTTTTTGAATTTCTGAGAGACATTATTATCTCCAAGCAATAGTATGATAGTAATAATCACAAGCCATTAAACCGATGGTCTTGAATCGGTTCAATTGAGATGAATGTGTTTCAGTGATTCGACCATATGAAAATATATAAAGTCAATGTCATGGAATATAAAACGTCAATGTCAGAGAAAAAGCCTCGATTATCCACCACCACAGATTCCATTTGAGTGTGACCGCCTCCGTGGTCTAGTGGTAGAGCGTCCGCCCGGAGAGCGGAAGGTCCGGGGTTCGATCCCCGATCGCGTCATACCAAAAGACGTTAAAAGATGGTACTTGTTGTTACCCTGTCTGGCGCTCGGCATTAAGGGGCTAAAACAAGGACTGGTCGGCTCGGAGTATACTGTGTCTGAGTGGGATATTCATGTTAAACTGCGGCATGGTATCTCAGTGAGCTAGCACTATAAATCGGCATCAGTCCGGACTAGTACAAACACACACGCACACACGCACACACGCACACACACACACACATGCACGTCGCTATATAAGTGCAATAATCTTGTACGCGACGTTAAACCCCATTTCACCTCACCTCACCATTGAGTGTAAAAGGCAAAAAAGAGGTGAAAATTCTATGAATGGATCACTGAAAACCAGTCATGACACCAGGTGTTGGGGGAAAGGGTGAACGTGTTCTGACCTGCAACACAAATCTTAAAAGGTGAACTAAAATGAATATTGTGGGGCTTACCTAGAAATCATTTACATCATTTCTTTTGCCAGCTCCAACGACGACAGGAGACTTAACAACGCTGTCTGTTGGTGGGTATTTATACAGTTCCTATACTTTGCGCTTGTGGTACACGCACTGATTAGATCGTAAAGCAGATCTTGTGTACAACAGTTTTGTCTTGTTATGGTACTATAACCAGGGACCATTCATTGTTTTGATTTTAATGCACCAGGCTTGTGTTAGAGACAGACTATTTCATCAACCGCTGCTTCAAGGCATACAGTGTTTTTAGTATATCCAATGAACAGTAAATTTGTGGGTAAACTCCGAGACAAAATTAGTTTCGTTCTACATTTGGATCCTGTATGGTGTGTCTTGATCCCCTTGACTGGTTCTACTTGGAAACATTTAGGTTAGGTTGTCAATTAATATGTCATGGGACAGGGACAGTGACAGTGACAGCAGCAGGATTGGGGGCAGGGGCAGGGGGCAAGGACAGGGACGGGGGCAGAGACAGGAATAGGATCGGGGGCAGGGACAGGGACAGGGACAGAGACAGGGGCAGGGACGGGGGCAGGGACAGGGACAGGGACAGGAGCAGAATCGGGGGCTGGGACAGGGACAGAGACAGGGGGACAGAAACAGAGACAGGAGCAGGATCGGGGGCAGGGACAGGGACAGGGACGGAGGCAGGGACAGGGACGGGGGCAGAGACAGGAAGAGGATCAGGGTCCGTGACAGGGACAGGGGCAGGGGCAGGGACAGGGACGGGGACAGGAGCAGGGACAGGGGCAGGGGCAGGGGCAGGGGCAGGGGCAGGGGCAGGGCAGCGGCAGAGATAGGAACAGGATCGGGACCAGGGACAGGGACAGGGACAGAGACAGGGGCAGGGACGGGGGCAGGGACAGGGACAGGGACAGGAGCAGGATCGGGGGCAGGGACAGGGACAGAGACAGGGGCAGGGACAGGGACAGAGACAGAGACAGGGGGACAGGAACAGAGACAGGAGCAGGATCGGGGACAGGGACAGGGACAGGGACGGAGGCAGGGACAGGGACGGGTGCAGAGACAGGAAGAGGATCAGGGTCCGTGACAGGAACAGGGGCAGGGACGGGGACAGGGACAGGAGGAGGGGCAAGGACAGGGACAGGGGCAGGGGCAGGGGCAGGGGCAGGGACAAGGGCAGGGTCAGGGACAGGGACAGGGACAGAGACGGGCAGGGACAGTGACGGGCAGGGACAGGGACAAAGACAGGGATAGGGACGGGGGCAGGGACAGGGGCGGAGACAGGAGCAGTATCTGGGGCAGGGACAGGGACAGGAACGGGGACAGGGACGGGGTCAGGGGCAAGAGCGTGGGTAGTGGCAGGGGCAGGGGCAAGAGCGGGGGTAGTGGCTGGGGCAGGGACAGGAACTAGGACAGGGGCAGTGGTACTAACACCTTTGTGATAATAAAATGACTTCCAAAAGAAACTTTACCAACTGAAAATAAATATTTCACCCAAGAATACAAATTTTTTTTCGATGAAGTCTTTCTAAAACACATAACCTAAATACAACAATAGTGTATGCAGAAAATGTCAATCGTCTGTTACATGTTTGCGAGATAACACGCGAAAAAGTGAAAAACACGTGCACCACGGACAACTGCAAATGCACGTGCGGGTAAGGGTATAAAACGACTGCAACGGCAAGTCAGACATCCACAGTGATAAAAAACAACAAAAAAGAAATGCCACGACTCACAGTCGAACAACGTGAACGAGCCTTGGGTATGGTACAGATGGGAGCCACCCACGCCCATATCGCACGCCCCATGATGACCGGTACTTGCGTACCTTGCACCTCCGAAATCGCTTCCTGACAGTGACGTCATCGGCGACAAACGCCCTAGGTCACAGGGTTAGTCGACAGACAATGGCCAGGAGACTCAGGGCTCATGGAATCAGGGCTTTTAGACCATACAGATGACAGCTATTGACAGCGCAACATCGGCGTCTGCGATTGAGATGGGCCCGGAGTGTACGACCTTGGCAACGACGTGACTGGCAGAGGGTTGTCTTCACTGACGAAAGTCGATTATGTATGCTTAGAGCTGATGGACGACAACGTGTTTACCGCCGAAGGGGTGAACGAACGGCGGCGTGTTGCGTGCAGGCGGTCGTACAATGCAATAATAAAGAAATTCAATAATGAAAGAATGAAATAATGAAAAAAGGCAATAATGAAAGAATACAATAATGAAAGAATGCAAAAATGCAAAAACGCAATAATGAAAGAATTCAATAATGAACGAATGCAATAATGAAAAAAATGCAATAATGAGTTATAAGGTTACATGCTTCTCGTAGTTTATATTGCACATGCCCAAAATATAGGGACACTTAAATCCAGACAGCCCGACGCCCATTTAATACATTTTAGATTAGCGATTCATGGATACAGTGCCATGTTGCTTCAGATATCATGCATGTTTATCATTAAAGGCTAGTGCTGTCGCTGCAGGAACTACTTTCAAGCTCCATACATTAATACGAGGTCAAATTTCTCAATATACTTTTGACTTACTTCTGATAGGGGTTTCCGGATGTGGCGCCGAAACATGGTACAAATTAGAGGTGTGCGTTCCTGCTACGTAATAACCGTGGAAACAGCAGCCCAGCTTTTTGAAATGAATACCCCGCTACTAATAAACGTAAAGGATCGCCTCAAACCTACATTTCTTCACGTTAAAAAAATCTCTACCATGTTATACTTACGTGCCATAAATCCTCCGGAGAATATCTACTAACACTGCGCACCCTCAGTGGGTGCGGTCCCGGAAGGCCGATTTTACACCAGCTTTGATTTGCTAAATTTGACAGAACAGTCGATAAAAGTGTCAGACCGTTTAACAAGAATCTTGTAACTTTTTTTGAATTTCTGAGAGACATTATTATCTCCAAGCAATAGTATGATAATAATAATCACAAGCCATTAAACCGATGGTCTTGAATCGGTTCAATTGAGATGAATGTGTTTCAGTGATTCGACTATATGAAAAAATATAAAGTCAATGTCATGGAATATAAAACGTCAATGTCAGAGAAAAAGCCTCGATTATCCACCACCACAGATTCCATTTGAGTGTGACCGCCTCCGTGGTCTAGTGGTAGAGCGTCCGCCCGGAGAGCGGAAGGTCCGGGGTTCGATCCCCGATCGCGTCATACCAAAAGACGTTAAAAGATGGTACTTGTTGTTACCCTGTCTGGCGCTCGGCATTAAGGGGCTAAAACAAGGACTGGTCGGCTCGGAGTATACTGTGTCTGAGTGGGATATTCATGTTAAACTGCGGCATGGTATCTCAGTGAGCTAGCACTATAAATCGGCATCAGTCCGGACTAGTACAAACACACACGCACACACGCACACACACACACATGCACGTCGCTATATAAGTGCAATAATCTTGAACGCGACGTTAAACCCCATTTCACCTCACCTCACCATTTGAGTGTAAAAGGCAAAAAAGAGGTGAAAATTCTATGAATGGATCACTGAAAACCAGTCATGACACCAGGTGTTGGGGGAAAGGGTGAACGTGTTCTGACCTGCAACACAAATCTTAAAAGGTGAACTAAAATGAATATTGTGGGGCTTACCTAGAAATCATTTACATCATTTCTTTTGCCAGCTCCAACGACGACAGGAAACTTAAAAACGCTGTCTGTTGGTGGGTATTTATACAGTTCCTATACTTTGCGCTTGTGGTACACGCACTGATTAGATCGTAAAGCAGATCTTGTGTACAACAGTTTGGTCTTGTTATGGTACTATAACCAGGGACCATTCATTGTTTTGATTTTAATGCACCAGGCTTGTGTTAGAGACAGACTATTTCATCAACCGCTGCTTCAAGGCATACAGTGTTTTTAGTATATCCAATGAACAGTAAATTTGTGGGTAAACTCCGAGACAAAATTAGTTTCGTTCTACATTTGGATCCTGTATGGTGTGTCTTGATCCCCTTGACTGGTTCTACTTGGAAACATTTAGGTTAGGTTGTCAATTAATATGTCATGGGACAGGGACAGTGACAGTGACAGCAGCAGGATTGGGGGCAGGGGCAGGGGGCAAGGACAGGGACGGGGGCAGAGACAGGAATAGGATCGGGGGCAGGGACAGGGACAGGGACAGAGACAGGGGCAGGGACGGGGGCAGGGACAGGGACAGGGACAGGAGCAGAATCGGGGGCAGGGACAGGGACAGAGACAGGGGGACAGAAACAGAGACAGGAGCAGGATCGGGGGCAGGGACAGGGACAGGGACGGAGGCAGGGACAGGGACGGGTGCAGAGACAGGAAGAGGATCAGGGTCCGTGACAGGGACAGGGGCAGGGGCAGGGACAGGGACGGGGACAGGAGCAGGGACAGGGGCAGGGGCAGGGGCAGGGGCAGGGGCAGGGGCAGGGCAGCGGCAGAGATAGGAACAGGATCGGGGCCAGGGACAGGGACAGGGACAGAGACAGGGGCAGGGACGGGGGCAGGGACAGGGACAGGGGCAGGAGCAGGATCGGGGGCAGGGACAGGGACAGAGACAGGGGCAGGGACAGGGACAGAGACAGGGGGACAGGAACAGAGACAGGAGCAGGATCGGGGACAGGGACAGGGACAGGGACGGAGGCAGGGACAGGGACGGGTGCAGAGACAGGAAGAGGATCAGGGTCCGTGACAGGAACAGGGGCAGGGACGGGGACAGGGACAGGAGCAGGGGCAAGGACAGGAGCAGGGGCAGGGGCAGGGGCAGGGGCAGGGGCAGGGACAAGGGCAGGGTCAGGGACAGGGACAGGGACAGAGACGGGCAGGGACAGTGACGGGCAGGGACAGGGACAAAGACAGGGATAGGGACGGGGGCAGGGACAGGGACAGGGACAGGGGCGGAGACAGGAGCAGTATCTGGGGCAGGGACAGGGACAGGAACGGGGACAGGGACGGGGTCAGGGGCAAGAGCGTGGGTAGTGGCAGGGGCAGGGGCAAGAGCGGGGGTAGTGGCTGGGGTAGGTGCAAGGGCAAGAGCAGGGACAGGGGCAGAGAGACAGGGGAAAGGGCGGGCACTGGTGCAGGGACAGACAGAGACAGGGGCAGGGACAGGGGCAGGGGCAGGGGCCGGGGCAAGGGCAAGCGCGGGGACAGGGGCAGAGAGACAGGGGAAAGGGCAGGCACTGGTGCAGGAACAGTGGTACTAACACCATTGCGATGATCGTTTCTCAATCCCACAGATCCATGCTCCATGACCAGAACCAGCAACACCAAGGGCGGAGTGACCGACATCCAACTGACCCTGAGTACATTGGGGGAATGCAGCACGGCCTGCCTATATCTGTCTCAGTGTATGGGCGTCACCTACTCCGGGGGCACCTGCAGCATCTACGGGGAGTCCATCACAGCCATGAACTCAGGAGACACTATGGACAGAGTAAAATATCCCTGTCCATTTACAGGTAAAAGCAGATTGTGCAGACTTGCAAGATCTTGTTTGTTGTTTAACGCCGCACTAAACAATATTCTAGCTATATGACGGGGGTCCTGAAATAGTCGAGTTTGAACCAGATAATCTTGTGATTGACACATGAGCATCGACCTTCGCAATTGGGATACGATGACATGCATCAACCAAGTCAGCGGGCCTGACCACCCCATCCCGTTAGTCGCCTCTTACGAATTCTACGGCAAGCAAGGGTTGCTGAAAGCCTATTCTACGCCGGATCTTCACCCGTCACTTGGAAGATAATTTGGTACATGTGCATCGTGCAGGTGCCTATTCACTGTGTTTCTACGGGAAACAGTAGCGTTGGGAGTTGGATGGGGATTCGTTCGTTAGTTCGTTCAGTTTTTCCTTCGATATAGTAATATTCCAACACTGTCATGGCGTGGAGAGATTGGCAGTGGCATCAGAAAGGTGCTTCACACATTGTGTGTTTGTTGTTTAACGCCGCACTCCAGCTCTTTGAGGGCGGTCTGTAAGTAATCGAGTTTGGACCAGACAATCCAGTGACTGACATCACAAGTATCGATCTTCGCAATTTTTCACACATTGTACTCGCGTGGGAAATCGAATTCGGGTCTTCTGCGTGATGAGGGAACGCTATAATCACTAGTCTACTCTGTCGCCAAGGGTTAAATTGATCAAATCCACAAATAAAAACGACATAACCCTTTCCATATACAGAGTGGATTGTACGATTCCGACTATAACATGAGTATGTGTTTGTGATGTTATGAGTGACTCCCTTACCAAAATGGCGAAAGGAATCCGGTGAATACATTCTTGCATATTATTTTGTTTGGAGGTTATTCCAAATTGAAAAGCGGAGGTTACTCTAGATATCAGTTCGCACAGCACTAAATTGTGAGATCAGTAAATCACTACAACCCGAGTTGGAATCCCCATCCAACTCCCAACCCTACTGTTTCCCGTACAAACACAGTGAATAGGCACCTGCACGATGCACATGTACCAAATTATCTTCCAAGTGACGGGTGAAGATCCGGGGTAGAATAGGCTTTCAGCAACCCTTGCTTGCCGTAGATTTCGTAAAAGGCGACTAACGGGATCGAGTGGTCAGGCTCGCTTACTTGGTTGATTCATGTCATCGTATCCCCATTGCGTGGATCGATGCTCATGATGTCAATCTGTGGATTGTCTGGTCCAGACCGCCGTCATATAGCTGAAATATTGCTGAGTGCGGCGTTTAAAAACAAACAAACAAACAAACAAACAAACAAACCTACTTCCAGGGAAGACCTGCTGTATGGAAGACACAACAAATATGAAGGCTAGTGCAGCGGCTTTAATGTCGTTGACGGCGTCTCTGGAGACATGTGAGATGGTCTGTCTCAACACCTCCTCCTGCATGTCCGTCTACTTCAAGAACAACGTCTGCTATCTCTACACTGCTGCCACAACCACTTCCGCTGATACCGGAAGTACACACTCTGTCAGGACATGCACCGGAAGTGAGTGACATTTTCCTCTTTTGTGCAGATACTGTTGACTGTATGTTCAATGATATCAAACAACATTTAGGCGTTGTGAACACGATGTGATAACTGAACTGTACACTAAACCCTTAGCCTATGTCTGAAGATTAAAAATGTGGATATGTTGTTTTATTTACCAGTTTACACATTGTCTCTGTTGAATGTCTTTAAATCAAGAATTGTGTTGGAAGCTGGCAGAATTCGGTGTTTCCAAATAATTATCCACAAATGCATTTGACAATTAATTGGGAAACTAGGCAGGTCGGAAGAGGCCTCAAATACCTTATATAGGTACAGTCAGTTTTTAAGAAACTAATATTCCAAAACGTCTCGTAAGATCAAGTCCTCTCTCATACATAACAATATTCCTGTGTTTAGGGACTGGGCATTTCTTTATCTAATTTTAATTTTCATATTTTGGATTTATTGTAAATAAATGAATAATAAATACGTTGAAGCAGAGACGATAATGCAATAATAAAAGAATGCAATAATGAAAGAATGCAATAATAAAGAAATTCAATAATGAAAGAATGCAATAATGAAAGAATGCAAAATTGCAAAAACGCAATAATGAAAGAATTCAATAATGAACGAATGCAATAATGAAAAAATGCAATAATGAAAAAATGCAATAATGAAAAAATGCAATAATGAGTTATATAGTTACATGCTTCTCGTAGTTTATATTGCCCATGCCCAAAATATAGTGACACTTAAATCCAGACAGCCCGACGCCCATTTAATACATTTTAGATTAGCGATTCATGGATACAGTGCCATGTTGCTTCAGATATCATGCATATTTATCATTAAAGGCTAGTGCTGTCGCTGCAGGAACTACTTTCAATCTCCATACATTAATACGAGGCCAAATTTCTCAATATACTATTGACTTACTTTTGATAGGGGTTTCCCAATGTGGCGCCGAAACATGGTACAAATTAGAGGTGTACGTTCCTATTACGAAATAACCGTGGAAACAGCAGCCCAGCTTTTTGAAATGAATACCCCGCTACTAATAAATGTTAAAGGATCGCCTCAAACCTAAATTTTTTCACGTTAAAAAAATCTCTACCATGTTATATTTACGTGCCATAAATCCTCCGGAGAATATCTACTAACACTGCGCATCCTCAGTGGGTGCGGTCCCAGAAGGCCGATTTTACACCAGCTTTGATTTGCTAAATTTGACAGAACAGTCGATAAAAGTGTCAGACCGTTTAACAAAAATCTTGTAACTTCTTTTTAAATTTCTGAGAGACATTATTATCTCCAAGCAATAGTATGATAGTAATAATCACAAGCCATTAAACCGATGGTCTTGAATGGTTTAAATTGAGATGAATGTGGTTCACTGATTCGACCATATGATAATATATAATGTCAATGTCATGGAATATAAAACGTCAATGTCAGAGAAAAAGTCTCCATTATCCACCACAACAGATTCCATTTGAGTGTGACCGCCTCCGTGGTCTAGTGGTAGAGCGTCCGCCCGGAGAGCGGAAGGTCCGGGGTTCGATCGTGTCATACCAAAAGACGTTAAAAGATGGTACTTGTTGTTACCCTGTCTGGCGCTCGGTATTAAGAGGCTAAAACAAGGACTGGTCAGCTCGTAGTATATTGTACATGTGTCTGAGTGGGGTATTCATGTTAAACTGCGGCATGGTATCTCAGTGAGCTAGCACTATAAATCGGCATCAGTCCGGACTAGTACACAAACACACACACGTACATGCACGTCGCTTTATAAGTGCACTAATCTTGGACGCGACGTTAAACCCCATTTCACCTCACCTCACCATTTGAGTATAAAAGGCAAAAAGAGGTGAAAATTCTATGAATGGATCACTGAAAACCAGTCATGACACCAGGTGTTGGGGGAAAGGATGAACGTGTTCTGACCTGCAACACAAATCTTAAAAGGTGAACTAAAATGAATATTGTGGGGCTTACCTAGAAATCATTTACATCATTTCTTTTGCCAGCTCCAACGACGACAGGAGACTTAACAACGCTGTGTGTTGGTGGGTATTTATACAGTTCCTATACTTTGCGCTTGTGGTACACGCACTGATTAGATCGTAAAGCAGATCTTGTGTACAACAGTTTGGTCTTGTTATGGTACTATAACCAGGGACCATTCATTGTTTTGATTTTAATGCACCAGGCTTTCGTTAGAGACAGAATATTTCTTCAACCGCTGCTTCAAGGCATACAGTGTGTGTAGTATACCTAATGAACAGTAAATTTGTGGGTAAACTCTGAGACAAAATTAGTTTCGTTCTATATTTTCCAAAACAGTTTTTTTAAAAAACAAATCACAACCTGTTTACTTCCTTTTGTCACAGGCAGTGGAGCGGATGTGTCCATTGTCAGTTCGGGACTTGGTGAGTAGATAACGTTTAGGTACAATCTATTTGTATCAAAACTTTTTTTGTTCATTTTTGAAAACGATGGAAATGGTTGCAATACCACATCGTCGTTAGTTAATTCACCGTGTGAATTAATTCCTGATTTTGTCATTTTTATAAAGACAATTTTGCTTTCTTTAAGAATCGCTTTAATTCCAAGCAGATTTATGACAATTTATGCTTTAATATTAACATGCTTATTTGTTATATGATTTCAGGAGTTGTAATTTTGGCGGTGATCGCAGTTATACACCGAGAAGCCATGATCTGACACAGAGAACCGGGATCTGCATTGTTGTATAGCAATATACTTGAATGATATGTTAGTGAATATTTTTTTCACAGGTTTAGCTTATCATAACAACTTCATCGAACAGCTATTGTTTAAATGTTTTTAAAGGAACACAAATAATGATGAACAAATCGCTAAATGAAAACACACGATTATGAGGTGAATACAGTAAACTACGGTTATAACGAATACGCTTATAACGAACTGACGGATATAACGAACTTACTTTTTGGTCCCGACTGTTTGCTGTAGTTATGCTGTATATATACTTATAACGAACTACGGTTATAACGAACTAAAATTAGTAGTCCCTTTGAGTTCGTTATAACCGTAGTTTACTGTATAATTTTATGGGCACGTAATAAACCCTAGCTGAATTACAATGTTGCTTCACCGTTTATGTATTTCATATTGCGCCGACAGACTAGTACTGTTGATAGGCAAGCAGAGTTATATTTGTTTCAAGCATCCTTTGAGATTAACATACATAGCAAGACCAACAACAGACGAAACCAGTAATTGAAAACTCACTCAAATATGTTGATTCGGGAAGATTCTCCCACTTCAACCAGTATTATGTCTTAATAATTCAATGTTATTTGCTCTTTGTAATAGTTTTACATACGTTGATAGTAGTGTAATTTCAATAGTGTTCAAAGTTTGTATTTGTTTTCGTAACATCAGAATAGTATGATCATTGTTAACAGACTAGTGTCCATTAACAGCAGGGGAAACATTGAACATTTCAACCAACTTGGTTTACAGTTAACCTAATTAATAATGGTATCAATCTATTTGGGAAGTGATTCGTCCTATTATGCAACTGTCTTTTAATTTCAACGTTTAACACATATTTGTTTAGTTTTGCTATTTTGTGTCATACAATGACATTATAACGAAACTATTTTCAAGATATTATCTGCATTGTTGTATTCATGTTTACCATATTGTATCAAGGAAGATGGGTTTTAGGACATTTGCCTTCTGTTATTGAATATTCAAGAAGTATCACTGTATCACTGTACAGGGTGCCGTTGTACAAAACAACCTTAGCGCTACGACTGTAAGTCTATGTTAAGGTATGGGAGTTACGATGACCTTAGCGCAAAGATCGCTTTGTACAACGGCACCCAGGTTATTTAAATACATACATTTGTCACCGTCAGATTTCTTGGCATTTTCGTCGCCAGTATCAGTGAATAAAAACTATTTCAAATTGGCTTTCCTTTTTTTTGGTATTGGCTTTCGCATAGTATTTATATTGCATTGAACACGTAATTACGTGGATGTTTTGGTCACCATAGTCTGCACTGGTCAAATACTGGTATATCAAACTATTGGCGGAATGCTAGTAATTGCGTCTGTCTACAACAGTGTATAATATCACGAGCAACGATGAAACATAATCAGGTTATACATTAATAAGCACCACGTCGTAATGTCGACCGGCTCGTGCGAGAAGCATTAGGAAGGGACTTATTCTGACCCGCGTGGGTCTTTGAGCCAACTCAACTGATCTTAGCATAACATTCACGCTATGTTGGCCCGTGACCTTGTTATAGTTGAGAGGATTCTTAACTGGGAAAAACATTACATTCAGGTGAGCTCCAGATGTCTGTATTGCAAGATTCTCCAACTAGCCTGAAAGATTTACTAAAACATGAATCCAAGTCAAATTGATTGGCAAGTCTAAATTGCGTTAGCTCTAGAAATTGAGTACTTTTCTTTATTTGCATTTTGTTGATATATATTTGTAAAAATGATAACTTTATTTCAAATACTATTTGCTGTACTTTATAGCCACTCGCATTTAAAATATACCAGTATGTGCACATGTAATCTATTCACACATTATTACATACATTCTCCTGTAAAGAATAGGTGTTGTGCAATGTAATACTGTATACATACATTGCCACTTATACACGTGTAACATGTAACTCGATGTTGTCTCCAAATGTACCCAAATTGTCTTAATCTACTTTTTGTACAGCTACATTCCTGTCTTGATATTTGAAGCACATTGTCTGAAACAAGTCAAGCAGGATGTGAGGAGTCATTTACATAAGATTTCCCGCAGACGTCACCGGCCCTGGGTCCAGAGAGACGATCTGCTGCCACATATTGCGACGTAGTCAGGGAAGAGTCGTTTCCCTTATGCCAGCTCTGCAGCGATGAGGTCTTTGTTCTGCAGTCCAGCCAACTCTCCGGGTGGAAGAGATAAGGGGTGGTGAGAAGGGTAGGGGTGAGATGGTTGGTGTGGTGAGCTAGGTGGTGGTGAGGTAGGTGGGATAGATATAGGTGGTGGTGAGGTAGGTGGGGTGAGATTGGTGGTGAGAAAGGTAAGGGTGAGATGGTTGTTTGTGTGAGATAGGTGGTTGTGTGAGGTGGTGGTGAGATAGGTGATAGTGAGATGGATTGGGTTGAGATAGGTGAGGTGACATAGGTGGGGTGAGATTGGTGGTGGTGAGATGGGTGGGGTGAGATAGGTGATGGTGAGAAAGGTGGGGTGAGTTTAGTGGTGAAAAGGATAGGGTGAGATGGTGTGAGATGGGTGGTTGTGAGATGGGTGATTGTGAGATGGGTGGGGCTGAGATGGGTGGTTGTGGGATAGATTGGTGAGATGGGTGGTGGTGAGATAGGTGTTGGTGAGATAGGTGGGGTTGAGATGAGTGGTGGTGAGATAGGTGGGGTGGGATGGGTGGTTGTGAGATAATAGGTGGTGAGATGGGTGGTGGTGAGATAGGTGGTGGTGAGATGGGTGATGGTGAGATATTAGGTGGTGAGATGGGTGGCGTTGAGATACGTGATGGTGAGATAGATAGGGTGAGATTAGTGGTGAGAAGGGTAGGGTGAGATGATTGGTAGTGTGAGATAGGTGGTGGTGAGATAGGTGGGATAGGTGGTGGTGAGATTGGTGGTGGTGAGATAGGTGTTGGGAAGATAGATGGGGGTTAGATTAGTGGTTAGAAGGGTAGGGGTGAGATGATTGGTAGTGTGAGATAGGTGGTGGTGAGATGGGTGGGGTTGAAATGGGTGGGGTTGAGATGGGCGGATGTTAGATATGATGGTGAGATGGGTGGTGGTGAGATAGGTGGGGTGGGATGGGTGGTTGTGAGATAGGTGGTGGTCAGATGGGTGGTGGTGAGATGGGTGGGGTGAGATGGGTGGTTGTTAGATAGGATTGTGAGATGGGTGGTGGTGAGATAGGTGGGGGTGGGATTGGTGGTTGTGAGATAGGTGGTGGTTAGATGGGTGGTGGTGACATGGGTGGGGTGAGATGGGTGGGGGTGAGATGGGTGGGGTGAGATGGGTGGTGGTGAGATAGGTGGGGTGGGATGGGTGGTGGTGAGATGGGTGGGGTAAGATGGGTGGGGGTGAGATGGGCGGATGTTAGATAGGATTGTGAGATGGGTGGTGGTGAGATAGGTGGTGGTTAGATGGGTGGTGGTGAGATGGGTGGGGTGAGATGGGTGGTGGTGAGATAGGTGGTGGTGAGATGGGTGGGGGTGAGATGGTAGGTGTCCTGAGATAGGTAGTGGTGAGATAGGTGGTGTGAGATGGTTGGGGTTGAGATGGTAGGTGTCCTGAGATAGGTGGTGGTGAGATAGGTGAGGTGAGATGGTTGGCAGTGTGAGATAGGGGGTTGTGATATAGGTGGTGTGAGATGGTTGGTGTTCTGAGATAGGTGGGGTGAGATTGGTAGTATTCTAAGATAGATGGGGGTGAGATGGGTAGTGGTGATTTAGGTGGTGGTGAGATAGGTGGTGGTGATATAGGTAGTGGTGATATAGGTGGTGGTCAGATAGGCGGTGGTGAGATGGGTTGGGTTGAGATGGGTTGGGTTAAGATTGGTTGGGGTGAGATCGGTGGTGTTGAGATGGTTGGTGTGAGATAGGTGGGGTGAGATTGGTAGTATTCTAAGATAGATGGGGGTGAGATAGGTAGTGGTGATTTAGGTGGTGTTGAGATAGGTGGTGGTGAGATGGGTTGAGATGGGTTGGGTTAAGATGGGTGGGGGTGAGAACGGTGGTGTTGAGATGGTTGGTGTGAGATGGGTGGGGTTGAGATAGGTAGGGTGAGATAAGTGGTTGTGAGATAGGTGGTGGTGAGATAGGTATATAATTTTGTACCTTTATCTCATTTCCATTTCCCTCATTGACAGTTCTGAGAGATGCAAATAAGCATTCGTGTGTGCAATCGTATTTCTATGGATTTATAATACTGTTACTTGATGTGTCTGACTGTCCATCCTTCTCGAATGTTTGCATATCTCGAAGTTACAACACGGTCCCGCTACGTTCGAGATACTGGGGTCCGACTGTAATTGGAAGTTTGAGAATTACAAATGACACATGGAGATGCCTAAATCTGCAGTACGGTTTAGCGTGAGTTAAAATCTGCAGTCACGTAGGCATGATGTCAGCCACGTGCCCGCTGTGTCCGGTTCTTAAGATGAAACATAAACACAACTATGCTTTGTTCATGAACTCGTGCAATATCATTTATTGACACAGTGTAGGATGAGTCGTCACCGTCAGTCGGTCTGACCCATAACGAAAGGTCAAATTAAATTGTTGTTTCTTGTACATTAAACCTGATAAACGATGGGTCATTGTTTAAAGAAGACAGACAGTTTAATGAGGTTCAATGGTAGACGTTTATCAGACTCGGCATGTTGATTATTTGGATAACGTAAATCGCTGACCAGTTTATCATGAAGATGTTATTGCTTGTATGATCCGAGGCGGGTAGTCATAACAACAGTCGCCCCACAGTCACCGGAGCTCAATATACAGTCCGGGCGTGTTTTGCGTTGATCCAGCGACTGCAATTGGCTATCCTCTGTAATGATGAGGCGTTGATAGAGCGACGAGGTATTCACACATCCAATCTCAGAACCGGGCTAGTGAGGATGAAAAGACTGACAAAGAAAAGAAACACTGTAGAAAGTGTTGACAGATACCCTTTCACCCCTGCGCACTGGCACGGCGCCGATACTTTACATTTGATAAATATAACGTCTTGTTGAATACTCAGATATTTCAAAGATACTTTTTGATTCGCGTAGTGAACAAGACAGTCACTAAATGCTCAATGAAAATTGGTAGTTTAAAGTTGATTGTGGACAACAAATTGCATTGCCACTGGTATGAGTAACTCGTTTATTCGAGTAGTTATCTCTAAATATTGTTTATCTAAAAGTCGATCACTTCCTAATCCCGTATGATGTTTCTGTCCGTATTATCTGAAAGAACGTATACTTTATATCGTATTAAAAATGACACATTTATATCCATATATAACTCCCTCCAGGTCGAATCCTATATCTCCCTCTCGCAGAAACCAGTCCAGTATGTTGGCCCTTCTATCGATATTATTCCGCGCTCTTGAAACTTCGGATGTCTCGAAGCAACGTGACAATGCAGTCTGCATCGTTTCTACCAATATTAATCCTTGCACTCGAAACTTAGGACATGCCGAAGTTTGTCTTTCACGTGATTCGGTGTATGATTCCACACCTGCATCTGAACGCCATTTTTGAAAGGTGATATATTTTATGACAGAATATATAAATCATAAACAATCGTCGAAATACTACGGTATCGTTCAAATTAACCATTGTTGATAACCCGTTCCACATTTTATCCTCTGATCTAATAAATGTCAGCTTCTCAAACACTCATGTTAAGACGTTGACACGTTAACCATTCCAATAACACCATGTTCATGTTCAGGCCGTCAATAAAAGGCGAACATAGCCCTTCTGAAGGCCTCGCAGGGTGGTTTTGTGAGTACATAAATGTGCTGAGCTAAGCTTTCTGAGGAAGGCCACCTGAGAGTCCTCTAGGAAACAATGTTGCAACAATGTTAACAACCTCAAATGAACACCAACCTTACCCTCTCCAGATTTGTTTATAAGAAAGGGTTACCCAACTCTGTCCTGCCCTCGCAAGTCTTGGTGGTGTTATTACAAGAGTACGTGTGGATGTAAGGCCTCGCCCCCTGAGATAAATGGCGCTTGATACACTGTCGAACGTTCACAGAACTCTCCTGTTTTGAAGTAAGAGAAGTCGGGACCGTATCCGGTTCCTATATAAACTTGAAAACAGGAATTCTGGCCGCCGGCGAAAACAATGAACCCCCAACCTCTCCGTTCGGACCTTGGTCGGGGACACCTAAGGCGTTGCGGCCTTTCATCTGAGCGCTGCAGGCGGAC